TGTGTGTGTGAGGAGTGGAATGCCTGTGTGTGTGTGTGTGTGTGTGTGTAGTGGAATGCCTGTGTGTGTGAGGAGTGGAATGCCTGTGTGTGTGTGTGTGTGTGTGTGTGTGAGAGGAGTGGAATGCCTCTGTGTGTGTGTGTGTGTGTGGAGTGGAATGCCTGCAGCTGCACCTACATTTCGCCGTCTCTGCCGCCGGGTTGGTTTCCGGTCCTCACGGTCCTCTCGTGTCTGGAAGGACGTCTCCGCGTGGCACTGGCAGTCACTGAAGGCGCAGCTCGTCCGTTAGTGCAGGAAGGGACAGTGACAGACAGTCGCAGGGACTCAGACTTCGGAGACCTTCGCGGCAGGGCCACTCAGTTGAGAGCACGGGCAAGGAAGGTGGAAGGAAGAGGAAGGAATAGGAAATTGTGGTACAAAGGCCAGGGGTGAGGAGAGTGTTACTAGACGTCCAGAAAACTTCACAAACCCTCTTCAGCCAGGGTCTTAGAGGGAAGAGGCGTCTGGCTGCCCTGGGGTGAGGGGGCTGCATGGCCGGCCGCTGCTGCTCAGACCTGCTGCACCCCAGCCTTCCAGAACAGACCACAGACACCTTTGAAAACAGTGAGCGATTGGACTTGAATGCTCATTTCAGTTCCTTTTAGCCAGCTTGGGCGGCCCTCTGCGCGGCAGCAGGGGACACGTTTGCGCTTTCTGCCCAGGCTGGCCAGAGTCTGTCCTTCAGCAGGGACGTGGTGCTGTGCTCTTTGAGGGGACGTTGGGACGAAATGAGCTCAGACGCCCCAGTCCCCAGCGCTGGGACAAGGGCTTCAAATGACAGGACTCAGGCTGAGCCCCCAGCGCTGGTGGACCCCTCAGGCTTTTGGATGCTATGGGATATTTGTCTAATGCATTTTTATTTTTTATTTTTTTCCAGAAATAAACATTTTTTTAGATGAAGATGCTCACATTTATTTTAGATTTTTTTAGTTTGTTGAATTTTTTTTTAATTTCAGGCATACCTAATTTCATGTAATGCATTTTTAAAGATTTATTTGCAAGGCAGAGCATGCAAAGTTTACCAACATCAGTGATGAAAGGAATAATGTATGCATATAAAGGGTATGTTATACCCGTCCCACTGCTAGAAATTTCTAACAGGCTCAAATACGTTTGTCATCAGTTTTTAGATCCTTATGGCGACTCAGAAGACACCCCTAGTCACTCCCCCTACGGCTTCAAAGACGGCTCTCTGGGCAGCGTGCACTGTAATGTGCCTTTGCATACACCGAAGTCCAGGAGTCCAGAAGAAGAGAACTTGGAAGACCCTCTCTTGTTGAAAATTCCAGACAGTGTCATGAAAGCTGCCAGCTGGGCCCCTGCATCCCTGGAGGCCAATGATGTGGACATGCCGCCCGTGGAGGCCAGCAGCCCCGAGATGCGAGGGTGGGCAGCCAGGCCTTTTGGGTCTCCAGAGGACTCGAGAATGACAGGGGAAGACCAGGGCCCCAGGGCAGCCAGCCCCCTGCTCCCCGCCATGGGCCCCCTCAAAGCCAGAGCATCACAGCCACCACCCAGACTCGGGAGTGAGAGGGACAAGGGGCCCAGGCTCTCACTGTCCAAGAGGAAACTGGAACTGTTACTTGTAGAGCCTGAAAAAAGCAAGAGGAAGAGGCAGTACGTGGCCTAGAGTGAGGTGAGCAGTTAGCTCAGGATGGGGGGGGGCGGGGGGGGCGGACCCGCGACGGGGGCCAGCGGGTCAGAGCGGACGTCGATGAACATCCAGGTTCAGTGAAACCCTTGGCCCTTTTTCTGTCTCAAATAATAAACACCTGGGTACCCACCACTTCGCTTAAAGTGGGGTCCAATGCAGGGCAGGCCCCGTGTGGCCCTCAGGGACCCACCCCCTGAATCTCAGAGAATTTCTGTCCTTTTCCCTAGACATTCCTGTAGCCGGAGGACTGCCTGGTTGACCTGGCTCTGTTGTGGTTCTCATCCTGCCCCCATTGCCCCCCAGGTTGTCATCACAGCCACCTCCAGGGGGGCCCAGCTCTCGGAGTTGATGGTAAGACCACGAATAAAAATATTTAAAACAAGACAAATGGGCCCAAAATCAACGTGGAGATGGAGGCAAGGCCACAGAAGGACCACTGGGGGCGGAGGACAGGTTGTGAACAGTCCTGGCCCCCTGGGCGTGTCGCCCTCCGCTCTGTCCTCATGTCCCTTCCCGTCAGGCTGTTCAGGAAGCTGCAGATTCTGAGCGGTTGGTTTGGGCTCAGTCTCCACATGGTAATGTCTAAAAATAACGGGTGGCAGAGGCTCTTGTACCCTTTTCCAGGTTTCGCTGAGCTTTTCACTTCCTCTCAGGCATGACCCGAGCGTGGGTCTGGAGTCGGTGGCAGTGCGTGGCCGCCATCTGCAGGCCCCAGGCCGGTGCTGTCCTGATGAAAAGGGTCTAATAAGAGAGGGGAGTTTGGGGGTGGGTGGGTGGAGGGGCTGCCCCAGGCGGGTCTCTGTTCACACTCCCCTCCTCTGCCACCCACCCCCGGCCCCCTAGGCCCCTCTTCTGCCAGCTCTGTCCGGTGAGGACAAGTCAGGCTGGGGTCCACTGTCCAGCCTGACCCTCCAACTGCAGGGTGAGTGGGTGGTCCCAGAGGCAGGGGGGGTCCCCCTCAGGCCCCATGGACTAAGCTCAGTGTGGTGGCGGGGGCAGGGTAAGACTCCAGGGGGCTCTAGCCCCGGGCGCCGCCCCATGGGCGTCAGGAGTGAGGCAGCAAGTCTGACCCCCGTGGGGTCCACACGGAAGCCCTGGACCGGGGGAGCATCAGTCCTGGACGTGCAGTGACCTGCCCCCGTCCCCCAGGCGGAAGGGGTTGGACAGTGTCTCAGTGGCGTCTGTAGCTGGGCCCTTGCCCTTCGGGCTGGAGTTGGCTCCCCCAACGTGTTCCCGGAGCTTACTTGGCACTCCCTCCACTGGGGCCTTTAGGGTTCACAGGACTGCCTTCCTTCTCTTGGGCTCCAGAATTCTCACTTGGTGCCACCTTAGCCTCTGTGCTCCGGACCCTCACCTGGAAACGGGGCGAGCAAGGAATGGTCAGGCGGGAACACGCATCCACGTGGCCTTTCGTGGGCTCTCCTGGTCATTACCAGGGCCTGGCCCCAGCTCTATCTCAGGGGAGAGCCTGCAGTGCTGTTCAGCACTCCCACTGTAGAAATGCCCAGAATCCTTATTTATTGGTTCAGAGAAAAACATTTAAAATGGGCCCTGATTTTCAATTGAATACAGCCTTGCACTGCAATCAAGCCACCTAGGGATCCCTGATGGAATGTTCCAGAACTGGGTAGGGAGGCAGCTCTGACTCTAGCGCTTAGGCCCTGCAGACGCTTAGGCCCTGCAGACGTCTGGGGCCTGGCAGCTCATAGACGCCCTGGGGGTTGGGTGGGGGGGGTAGGGCTCCCACGTCCAGTCAGGCTGACTCACACCATCAGTTGCTGGTGGGCGGGGCATGGGGCATGGGCCGCCCACAGCAGGATGGACAGGTTTTGATCACAGGGCCTGTGTGAACGCCTGGGCTGATCACCACGAGGCACTGAAAGGCCAGACACCTGTTTTCACAGGGAGACCACACCCATCACTTCCACGTAAGCAGCAAGCAGTCAGCCAAGCCAGACTGCCTCTGCGTCCACTACCTCAGATCTGTGGGAATGAACTTGCCAGGAGGGGACGGGGCAGGTGGCAGAGCCGGACGAGGGCATCAACCTGTGACCCAGGGTCTCTGTGCCAGGCTCCACCACGAGGGGTTGCAGGCCAAGTCCAGGCGCCACGTCCCCCAACTTGGTCTGGCCTCAGGAGGTGTCGATTATGATCCAGGATGGACCAGAGCTTTCCTAGGAGCACCGGCTGGTTCTGCGTCCATGACGGGGTTGCCAGGATCTTAACTCAAGAACCGTGGCTGCTTTGGGGTGGAGCGGCGCTCACTGGTGCCCGAGGCACTCAAGAGAGCCGAGACAGAAGAGGCGGGAGCCAGCTCATGCTTAGTGTTTTATTTCATAAAACAGCCACACTAGCGACCCTCTAAAAACACGTGCGTGCAGCCTTCCATCTCCACCTCTGCCACCGTCAGCCATCCTTCAGTGTCCTCCAACCTCAGACCAGCGACTTTCCTTTGACAAGTCCATACCTTCCGAACATTTTAATAATGAATACATGTTAAATATTGAATTTTACTATTACAGAAAGGGGTGCTAGAAAATTGTAGGTTCACTCGGTGCAGAGGACTGCCACGCCGCGCTCGTAGAAGCTGCGAGGGTCTTCCTTGGTGGCGATTTCAAAGTCCACGGTGAAGATGAGGTCTGCCCGGGTGAAGTTCAGGTAGACGGGTAAGGTCACCTGCAAGAGAGGGCAGGGCTCACTGTGGACTCAGGACAGGTGAGCAGACTGCCCAGAGACGTTGCAGGCGGCCTCGGTGATCGAGCGCTTCAAACTGAGCGCACCCGGAGGACGGAGGATGGAAGGAGCCACTTACCACGTTAGCCTTTTTCTCTGCATTCGTCTGCTTGACCCAGCGCAGCTGTGTTAGGGGAAGGACCGTGGAGATGGCATTGGAGAGCGAGAGCTTGTTGTTATTGCACGTGGCCCCCTGGAGCTTCAAACCTGGGAGGAAGAAGTCAAAACCCATCTCAAGTGGAAACAGCCGCTACGCCAATCCATTGGTCCCGGGGATCTCGGGGCTGACAAAGTGCATAGCTCTAACTTGCCGCCATCTGCCCACCTTCAACATTTGTTTAGGAACCACTTTTGAGGACCCAGGCACCTGAGAAGGTGTGCTGGCTGAGTCTGCATATTCTGTGACCCCAACTCACCCGTGACCCCAAAGCTGCAGGCATCGAGGGTGGCACTCTGGGAGGTGGTGACGTTGACTTCCAGGCAGAGCTCCTCCAGAGACCAGCTGTTGGCCTGGGCCACGTACTGCCTGGTGGCGGTGATGTAGGCCTCGGGCACAAACAGGCCGCCCAGGCACACGTGGATGTTCTGTGGGAAGAGACAGCCCCAGCTGAGGAGTGAGCCCACTCACTCTCTCGGGTCCGACCCGGGCCTCTGCTCGTCCCTCGGGCTGCCCGGGTGCTGCTGATCCCAAGCCCAGGACAGCTGCCCCCCACTCCCCTAGGCTTCCCAGGAGCGTCCTTCACCTTTAGCTCCTTGGCGCCGCCAGATGCAGCTGCCAGGGAGATGTTCTGGAGCTGTTTGATCCTCTCGCTGAAGTCAGACACCCACTGGATGACGGTCATGCCGGCGGGCACTGTGTAGTGGGACCAGCTCCGAGGCAAGATCCCTGCAAGCCAGGAGACCCCAGGCGGCGTCAGTTCCCGCGATCCCCCCACAGACGGGGCGAATCTGTTCGTGCTCACTTGCGTCTCCAGCTGTGCCCACACCTGCGAGCCCTGCCCACCTTCCCCGCCTGCACCTCACGTGCCCTGGACGGCCCGCCATCACCTCTGCATCTGCTCTGTGCTCAGTCCCGTGTAACTGACCGGGGTGTGCCTGGGGGGGCCAAAGTCACTCCCCAGGGACACCACAGCCACAAACTCCCGTCACACAACTGGCTCAGCGTCACCAGCAATTCAGGCTCTCAGGGCCCACGGGAGACACCTGGGGGCCCCTTGTGCTTTTGGACCCAAGCCCCCCCATTTTTCCTTGGTCCTGCTCCCCTACCCCCTCAAAATTGTAGAAGCTGTGTAAAGATTTTAGTAAATGTTCAGTGAACCAGCATTATGAGAAAAACAAGCCCTTGGGCACTTCTAGGCCTGCCCCCCAGGTAAGGGCACCGAGCTGCTCTCAGAGGCAAGTCTGCAGAAGGAAATGCGAGCGAGGCCTGGCCTGAGACCTGTCAACACTCTGAAGAACTGCGGCCGTGGGCCCCAAGCACGTCCTGCACTAAGCGCAGCGAGGGAGACACAGCTGCGGTGGGTGAGGCTGGGGGGCTGAGCTCGCAGGTGCACGTGAGAGGACCAACACCTCAAATTCAGTCCCACTGAAGGCACACCTTTCACCAGCTCATTGATAAGTGTACGCAGGTAGTTGGTCTGTTTCTTCTTTCCTTCACACACTTGAACGACATCAGCAAGATCCTGGCGCACATCCTGAAGTAACTTAGCTCCCATCTTCACCTCTCTCTCAAAGAATCTGAACAAAGGATCCTGAAATTGTTCAAAGAGAAGAGAAGGCCAGAGTGAAGGGAAGAGAGTCTAGGACGAGGTGCCTTCTGCAGCAGAAAAGAGCATCAGACAGACAGACAAGACAGTCAACCTGGGGAGCCCCAGAATCCACAACCTGGTCCAGGTGACTCACAGCTTCACCTGAGCACCATCTGGGACTAAACCTCGTACAAAGCTGACGGAACCCTGTTGTAGCCCCTGCCTGACCCAGCAGCTCTGGACAATTCTCTAAAGAGGAAGAACGGCAGCTGCCACTTCCTCTTGGAGAGTCATTTACCTAGCTCAAGGAAGACGGATGGCCTGCTAGGGTTTTTCTGGCCAGTTGAACGAGGGTCAAGCCCTCTTGCCTGAGCCTGGGCTCAGACGTGCGCCTGCTCTGAGACAACACTAAGTACGGCCTGTCTGCCCAGCTGAACTTTCTAGGACCATCCGGAGCCCATGGACACCGCAGATGGCCCCGCCTGCGCCCCACCCTGGCCACCTTGATGTTCTCCACTGTCCGTTTGAGATGGCTGAGCGTCGGGGGGATGAGGTGCAGCCAGTTGGAGGCAGTGGTGTGCAGCGTCCTCATCCAGGCGGGGCGCCCATCGGACGTGGAGTCTGTCCTCGTCTTCTTCTCAGCCTCCGCGTAGGCCAGGTCGTCCTCGTCTTCCAGCATCTGCATCTTCAGCATTTTACTGATCATGTCCACGCCTGGGCCGCAGTCCCACCAGCGGCAGATGGAGGGAGGGGGTGGGCAGAAGATCAGAGGGAAAAAGGGCTTGAATGTAAAGGCCACATAATGAGTCTACCCACAAGGTACCAAGGGGTACATGTGTCTACAGCACAGAAAATGGCCTGGCCAGAAAGACGAGGAGGGAAAAACAGAAGAAAAACTGCTACCAGGTCAATCATGACTGCTGGGCCTGCAGCAGCAGCCTTAGTGCAGACAAGAGTGAGGCTGCTCCAAGACTCTTGTGTTCACCGTGGAGCCTGGTGCAGCCCGGAGAGGGGTCATGAGGGAGGGGCTGGGGCATACCAGGCCCCAGGCGGGGAGCCATCTCTCCTGGTAACGTGGGACCACTTCCACTGAGACTACACTGAGCGACACGGCAGCCTCCCGTGTGCTCCAGACTCCACCCACGACCACCTGCCCCCTCAAACACCTGTCCCCATTCTGTGTAAGCCTTGGTGTGCCTGATCTCACCCTGTCCTTGTCCCTTACCCGCTAGTGGAGTGCTGAAAGTCCAGTACAGAGCAGCGCTGCTGCCTGGAGGCTGGACGGAGAGACGGGGCTCAGCTCTCCTACAGACAGGCTCCCGTGGGCTCAGACCTGGGGCAACCTGTTAGCCCCGGGCCCTCAGTGCTGCCCAGAGAGCAGTCACTGTAGTATCGAGGGGGCATTCACAGGGACCCAGCAGCTATTAGAGGGCAGTGAGTGACAAATCCTGCAAACACTCCCCTGTCACAGAGGCCAGGTTGGGTCACAGCAGTCGACCCCAAGTGCTGATTAATACTCTAAACGGTCTCAGTACACACTCTTGTACAAGAGAGTGCTCCTACCCAACCCTCCGAAACGTGCCTAGCATCCAGGCCTCAAACTCTCAACTGTGGACCAGCCCGACGTTCATTCTGGTCGCCTAGGGGCTACTGCCGCCTCACGATGGCAGGCAGGATCTGGCAGCATCCAAGGCTGTCCGCAGGCAGAAAGCAAGCCCCGTAAGAAGTGGTTCTCGTTACAGAGCTGAAGAGACAGCCTGAAACGAATCGTCTGGTTCTGTCCTATCAACTAGTGGCGAGAGTTTGGGCCACTCGCTAGTCCTTTCTGGGCCTGTGTCCCATAAAGAGAAGTCTCGTTAGACCAGCAGTTCTCACACTCGCATGTGTACCAGCCAGCGGGAGGGCCCCCAGCACCCCCAGTTCTGATTGAGGAGGTGTGGGCGGGGCCTGAGAATCTGCATTTGTACGAAGTTCCAGGTGAGGAACTGGGGACCACACTTTGAGAAACACTGGATTAGATGATACCTTCAAGAGTCTCAAAGAAAAAAACATGTTGTAAGTAAAAAGCAACAAGTTCTAAAAAAAATGTATTCCAGTAAAGAGACTAATGTTTTTAAAACATCACTTAATACCAAATACTTTTCAACTTTTTAAAGAAGAAAAAATTAAATTATTTCTGAATGTAAGATGAAATCCTAAATGCAACTTCCAGACCTCACTGATGTAACTATCAAGTCTCTTGCCCAGAACGCAGCCTATACTGCAGAAACCCCCGCTGGAGCCGACTGTTCTCTTTGCCTCCCCTGGGGGCGAGTTAGGAGCAGCTAGTAACGGGAACGGGGCGGGGGGTTGGTGGTTGGAGGGAGGGGGAAGTTGAGGCCGGACTGGACTAAGCCACAAAAGGGAGAGGAAAATGGCCCAGCAAATGCAGAGGCGGAGGACCGGGCGAGTGGGGTACCCACCCTGGGTGGTGAGGAGGACTCGCTCGGCGTTGTTGGGCAGGCCCAGCCAGGAGGGCGTCTGGGTGTCAGGGAGCAGCTCCACCCACTGCACAAACTCCTCTCGCCTGGAAAACCAGCACATTGGGAAATGCTGTTACGTGTGACACCAGAAACTGCCTGGTGCCTTGACCATCTCAGTCATGGGAGGCAGGCTCATACCTGATGCCATCTGGCATCTGAATGTCTTTATGCCCGTCGACCTTGCAAGCCAGTTTAAATTCACTGTCGAAACTCTTCGTCGTGAACAGACGCTCCAGGAAAGTGTTGAGCAGACGCTGGTCAAATTCATTGTCCACACGCCCGCCATAGATCGACTGGGCCATCAAGGTCTTCAGTGCCGACCACGGGATCTTATCTGGTGAGATGTTCTGTCTCCCCTGGGTGAGGACAGGCTGGTTACGTTTGTGCAGGTTGGAGGGGGCATCAGCACACTCGGGCTCTCCACCTTGTGGGGTTCCTTTCCTTCACCCACATCAAATAGATGAGACTCGCTGTCTGCTGTGTATGTACAGCTGGGCACATCACCTTGTACCATAACCAGGGATGTTTCTAGGTGTTTCCCCATCTCTGACACGGCCCAGCCCACACTTGCCTTTGCTGTGTCGTCCAGCCACGTGTCCACCGTGTCGCAGGCTGACCGCAGGTCAGATTCCCCAAACTCATACTTCTTTGACCACCCCAGGGGTGCGTATCGTAAGCGTTCCTGGATGATGGCATGGAACCAGGCCAGCAGGAAGTACAAGCGAGCACGCTCGTTGGGAGACTACATCGGGAAAGTTACCAAGGACAGAATCACCAGACAGCAGTGCCCCTTTCTAGCCAAGAAAATAGTGCAGATCCTGTCAGAATCAGAGCTTTAAAAAGAGCTTTCCATGCACTAACACTGGAACCACCCTGACCTGAGTAAGACCAGGGCCTACTATGCAGCAAATTAATACAAATATTGTTGCTAGGCAAAAAGTATGCCAAATTTTCTATTAATAAAGATGTGATTCAATGACAATGTTGAGATAAATTATTTAGGAGAAGACAAGTTTTCTAGAAATGTCAGGAAAGGTGGATTATGGCACAAAATAAAATAAGATTCCCCTTCCTCCTGTCCACGAGCCTCAGTCTCTGGCACCCAGGAGAGCACTGCTTGGCCTCAGGGTGGCCCGTGCTCGGGAGAGGAGGATTCCCAGATGCCTACTCTGGGGTACAAATCCGGGTTCTGGCCAGAGCTTCCCCGCAGGCGTGTCTGCTCACCCAGGAGCCTAACCGTCACAGCCATGCAACAGAAGACCGTGTAGAGTACCTTTCAAACCGCTCACGGGGGGACGTGTGCTGCAGTTAAGAAGTACAATTACCTGTACCATTAGCCATTCTGTGTTGCTGGGAAGCATGGAGACCCGCCTCTGAACTCAGTGACGGGACCCCACCTCTTGGGCTTATACAGAGACCACCGTCTTTACCTTGCATATCCGCGAGACAGGGATGCTGCTGAACGTCCTCAGCATGTTGGCCTTCACCCCTGGAGGCGGCTCAAACACGAAGATGCGGCCTGCTCGGAGCAGATTCACAGGCACCTGAAGAAGACACGGCTCCCGTCACCACTCCTGTTCCACGTGCGCTTCAGCTCAACCACACACACAATCTGAACAGAAAGACGTCAAACCAGCATCCAAAATCAACGCCCCACACCCTTGAACCACCCACCTTGGGGTTGATCTCCATGGTAAGGAAGAGTCTGAAGCAAGCGTGCGGCTGCAGGGAGTGCAACTTCTTCTCCAGCTGCATCAGCCACCCGGGAGCCAGGTGGACGTTCTTCAGCATCACCCACCTGCTCAGGCAAAGAGAAAGCCACGGTGGCACTTCACGTTTCCTGTCTCAATTTTGGGGACCAAGGCTTTCTGAAACACAACAAACAGGCCTACCTGCCTGACTTCACGGCTGTGTTTATTGCCTTATCTGCTTGGTTGAAGCCTTCTGCCGAGCCTGGTGTCAGAAAGCTTCGTGTCAGCATGGCAGAGTTGGACTCCAACGCCCACCATGAATTCTGTGGGGCTTCAGCCCGTGAAATTGATCAAGCACCCTTACCAATTGCAATCGAAGTGATCTGTGTGTTCTGTTCAGCTGCAAGGTCTTCAACATGCCCACTAGCATCATAACCAGGCACAGAGCACATGAGGACAGGAGTATTTGGCTTTACCTACAGATGAGGACATGGAATTAAGTTAGCATCCCACCAGACTGTGTGCTTGTTAAGTGAGAGAGCTCTGTGGGTGGGGCCCGTGAAGGGGGGCAGGTTTAGAGGCTACAGCGGGCGCTTAGCCTTGGGAGGAGACTGCAGCTAGGAGTCAGGGCAGATGAGACGTACTTGAGTCTGCAGGGGGCCAGAGCTGTACCTCTGTGTCCACAATGTGGGTCAGGTCGAGTGGCTGCTCCATGATGGACATGAAGGACTCCCCGAGGTTTGTGGAAACAAACATGTGGGCCATGGCCAGCAGGCGGTCGGGGCGGAAAGCCTGAATCAAGAGCAGGCGGTGGATGGCTTGCCCGATGGGTGCTGAAATGAGGCGAGTGAAGGGCTGGGGTTTGGTGACAGCACAGGCTTCGAGACGTCCCCCCGCCTGGAATGTTCTTGTTACAAGCCTCCACTCAGCATACAGTGTCCAAGACTCAGCTCAAACGTGTGACACTCAGAAATCACACTACCTCCTCTGATTCTCTGTCCCCAGGACAACTGCCGCCCCCTTCTGTGTCTTCATGAGCCCTCTGGACACATCTATGACCTCACCCACCGCTTGGGTCTCTTCATGGGTACTGCGGCAATTACTGATTTTAAATGATTCCACTAATACCTGGAATCTGCAGGTAGAACACCTGAAGGTTCTCAGAAACGTCTGAAGAAGATCACAGTAATCACCGGCCCCACCACTGTTGACTGGCAGTTGGAGACCACCCTCTTCTTCCTCTAGGAGCCTGGCTATCCGAGGGCCTCGTGTAACACACTCAAAAACAGCCAATTCCCCCTAATGGTGGGCAAGGGCCTTTCCTCCTCTCTCTCTTTTGGTCTTCAAGCATGAGTTGGAACAGGAATTAGGAATTCTTTGCTCTCCCACTTCTAAGCCAACTCCTAAAGTTTTAACACTGAAATACTTTCTCAGGAATCTGTGACTTTATTTCTTGGAAGCATCCCTTCATTGAACCAGCAAAACCCAACTTTACATGTGGGTCCAGAATGAAAACGACAGGGGAGCCCTGACGTGGGCTTACTTGCAGGGGTCTCTTCACTCCAGAGGTAGGGCACTGTCTGCTCTGGGGAGCTGCTGTCCAGCCAGATGCCAAATTGCTGTGGAGACAATAGCGGAAGCATCAGCACGGAGCAGAGCCCAACTTCGTGGGCAGAGAGCTGGAGACTGACGCATCAGCTGTCTGATGCGAGGGTGCACCAACACAACATTCTGGGTTTTACACCACACACACATTCCTTATTGCCAGTCTCCTGGGAAAAGGCCAAGACGTTTTTTTCCACTGGGAGTGTTGAGAAGAAAACTTACCTCATCAGCCTGAATCTTTGCAATCAGATCTTTAAACGCAGGGAGACAGCTCAACCTCACAACCGCTTCGGCCTGCTCGACAGTCAGGCCCTGGATCTTGGGCGTTGAACCAGCACTCAGCACGATCTCCTTCCCTCTCAAGAAGTGCTGGAATTCGGCATCGTAGGTGGGCTCTCTGGAAAAGGGGCAACGGATTAGCTAGGGCCTCTTAGATTCATTTCTACCATCACGAAAAGAGAAATAATGGCTTAAAGAAAAAAAAGAATTTATCCTATCCTAAAACGCTAGTAGGCACCCTACAAAAAGACGATGTTCTAGGATGGACGTTAGACGGGGCAGGGCCTTACCCAATGGTGCCCTTCAGTTTGATTCTCGCCAGCAGCATGGCAAAGGTGATGTGGTCCTGATGCAGCATGCCTCTAGCCACCCGGTTAAATGCCACCTGGGGACAAAAGCAGGACACACTGCTGTTCCCAAAGAACTCCCTCCGAATCTGCCCTTCCAGAAACAGCTGAGCAGTACGCCCAGTACCTGGAAGAGATCCTTGGTTATGATGGAGAGGCGCTGCGTGTGGTCGGTGATGCCCTTCAGGTTTGGGTTCTCATATAAGACGTTGTGATAAATGTCCAGGAAAAACTGGAGGGAGTACTGGTACAAGAAGTGTATCTGAAAGCGAGCACCAGACGACCATTAGACACTGTCACGGCCCACGGCGCAGCGCGCCTCGGCCCGGCTGCATGGCCCCTGAGTCACCTGTTTCAGAGACTCCATGGTGAAGTAAATGCTGCTGCAAGCGGTGGAGAGCGGCAGGTACTGCTGGGACACAGTCTCCACCTCCTGCATCACAATGTCCGTCTCCTCCACTTTTCTTGTCACCTCGGCGGCCTCTCTCTTGAGGTTCTCCAGAGTCGTTATGATTGTGTCGTCATCCAAAATGCGTCCTTTCACTTCGTTCAGAGCTTGCAGCAGAGATTTTTCTAGCTGACGTAAACGGAGCTGAAATTCCCCTTAAACGATCAAACATCCAGAGTTTGCCACAGTACTCACATTCTTTCAAACGGAAAACTCTGAAGTGCTTGACATAAACCTGGAACATTCTAGTCCCTTAAAAGTTCAGTCTCCTAAACTGTATTGTGGTTACCAGGGGCAATGGGGGTGGGGGGTGGGCACAAGGGGTGAAGGGAGACATATATATGGTGATGGACAAACAAAAATGTACAACCCAAAATTTCACAATGTTAAAAACTATTAAAATATCAATAAAAAAAAAAAGAGGAGGGTTGGCAGATGTTAACTCAGAGCTGACCTTCCTCACACACACACAAAATATATATATATGTATATACTTGATGTAAAAAAAAAGTTCAGTCTCCTAACCTGCACCAAGAATCGAAAACATACCTTGAAGTTTGAGAAGATCGGAGCGTTTTTCATCCACATCAGGTCTCTCTGCTTTGAGTACTTCATTTAGACACTGGCTCTGTAAACTGCTTCGGGTGACTGTGAAGTTGACAAAAGTAACCCGGGAACACAGATCTGGTGGGAACTCCACCTGTCAAAAGGGTAACAGAACAGTCTGTTTTGTCACTTCAGCGGCAACCCCAACACGGCCACATTTTCACACACCAAGTGCCTCTTTCCTTACAGTTGGGTCTCGGGTGGACAGGAAGATAACAAATGATGGCGACAGGTCTATGTCCTGGTCACCGAGGGTAATCAGCACTCTCCCCCCCGTTCGCCGAACTTCACGGTTCAGTACTGGATTCAAAACTGGATCGTAGCTTTCCACGTCCTATATATGTGTATATATATAAGAATTTTGATGGTTAGACTTTTATATTTATTTTCATCCAAAAAATGGTGTATTGACATTGACTTCCTACTCCGGATAAATACACCTTCCCAGAAGCCACCTAGCCATTTAGACCCGCACTGTCCAATGTGGCAGCCACTAGGCACACGTGGCTACTTCGGTTAATTAAAATCAAAATTTCAGTTCCTTAGTCACATTAGCCACATGAAGTACTCAACAGCCACAGCTGTGGCTACCATAGTGGACAGCACAGATTACAGAACATTCCTATCACTGCAGAAAGTTCCAGTGGACAGTGTTGATCTAGACACTCTAAGTGGAATTTTAAGTGCAAACACTGCTTTTGTTGGATTTATTTTTTATAGAGCAATCTCAAAGCTTTATCCTTGCTTTGATATCAAATGAAGTCTTAAGTTCCAAAATTATCACTGTATTATGTAATTTACTTTTATTTCACATCAACTGTGTTTGATAAAAACTCAACGTAGCCCTAAAAGGAATCCCATCTCAGAAGCAGGATCTGAAGGATTCAGATGTCTACACACCTGGACCAGAAGGGGGTTCCCAAATCTCAGTGCGCTCTCCAAGTTCTTTCTGAAGGCGTCATCCAAGAAGCTGGTCCTCGTGATCTTACGGTCCTTGTACTCATTCATGATGAATTCTGTGGCCTGTCCAGAGGGGTCAATGATCAGCGGGTACCTGAGGGCGGGCAAGAGAAGAGCAGCGTAAAGAAACCAACGGCAAGAACAACCACGTGGTAGGCAGAGCCCCGGATGACGGCGGAAAGGTCGGCCCCACCATTCAAGTGCGGTTTCCAGATTCACCAACAGAAACCAATGTGACAAATGCTTAACGCTAACACAGATCATCTTTTTTCTGAAGAACTACCGTAATGAGGAGTAACTACGTCACAGACAGGGCCATAGGTTTTTATTTAAGTTAGGGCCATAGTTAAAACTTCTCTCTCTGGGACACAGGATCTCTCTCAGCATCCTGCATGTGCTTTTCCCCAAATGCCAAGCACACTATGCTAGAACTGTTGTTCTGTGTATTATTTACTCCCTTCTAGACAGTCACCTCCTAGAAAGTGGGTATTAACACGGATGCTGCAGCAGCGCCAAGAGCTAACAGTTATAAAGAGTTTAAATTGCCACGACCCTGGCAAATCACAGACACCACTGCATTTAATTCTCACAATAACCCTATGACATAGGTACTGTTATCATGTCTGTTTTACAGATGAGGAAACTGAGGCACAAAGAGCTAAAGTGATTTGGGGGGATGGTGGTCACACACCAATTAAACAAATGTTAACAACAGGTAACACACACATTTGTACAAACTTCAGAAGCGATGAAAGGGCGTATGGTGAGAAGAACCCCCCCACCCCCATTCTTTGGTCACCAAATATCCCTCCCCAGATGACTACTGTCATAAGTTTCTTTACAGAGAAAGTTCAGGCGTTTATAGACACGTGTGCGCGTGGCATGAGCGTCCACGGGGGAGCACACCACCCTCGCCTGGCACCTGCTCTTCTCACTCACTGTCTGTCTGTTGGAGCTGCCTTTGTACACGGCCTCCGTATGAATGGCCTGGGCTGTAGCGACAGCCCAGTTTCCCACTGTGGAGACGAACGGCAATCAGGAGCATCTGTGGTGCCCCCAGTCACCTCCGAGGATACACTCAGTTCTCATGAATATTTTTAGACTTGTCATTCTTCATGTGTGCCAGGCTACTGCTGAATAAACACCTACAAGTGGGTATACTTTTCATTCAGTCAAATCCAGCTGGGCACACAGACTGTACCAAGGGGTCAATATTCTCATCAGCACCATCTGGTGAGACACCTCCTGGGACCTGAGGCTGCTCGTGAAATCAAATGACATCTGGAGGAGGCTTCATCATCTTTGTGTCCCAGGGACAGTGGCATACAGCAAGGGCTCAAAGGTTTCAAGATGTTTAGGTGAGGTTAAAAAGAAATCTGGGAATTAGTTTTTTAAAAAAGAAAACACGAAGGGTGTTGGGGTTTAAGAGCTGTCACAGAGGGAGTCAAGCCTTAGAGATGCAGGTGACCCTTATGTGGGGTCAGTCCTGAAGACGCCCCTCGAACTGCAGTGTCTAACCTACCATCAGAGCAGTCACATTCCATTTCTTACTCTGGCCTTTTTTTATTTTTCGGTGAGGAAGATTGGCCATGAGCTAATATCCATTGCCAATCTTCCTCCTTTTGCTTGAGGAAGAGTGGCCCTGAGCTAACATCTGTGCCCATCTTCCTCTATTTTGTACATGGGGCGCTGCCACAGCATAGCTTGATGAGTGGTGCATAGGTCTGCACCTGGGATCTGAACCTGCGAACCCCGGGCTGCCAAAGCGGAGCATGCGAACTTTACTACTACGCCACCGGGCCAGCCCCAACTCTGGCCTTCTTAAACTGAAAAACTGGTAACAATTTCCCCTTTAACTCTACTTCTAGCGAAATATTTTCAGTTCTTACAGTATTTTAAGAGAGAATCTGTTTTAACGTCCACCCTAACACACAACCTTGTCTATCAATTTCAAAAGGTTACACAAAAAACATTCACTGCAGAACAATTCAGTCAAGATGTAAGACTAAAAGAATCGTGCACACCCCACCATCAGTGGTGAGCACTCAGCCTGTCAGCACTGCATGCCCGCTCCCAATTTTTGGTGTTTTGAAAAAAAACTGAAATGAGATCACTGCACATAAAAACTTCTAACTTGCCCTCTTTTTGTGTTTAAATAAGCACACACCTGTTGAAGCGTTTCAGCATGATGGCGTTCTCTGTGCACAAGTCATCCGCAGGTAAGGAGCTGGCTTGCCAGCGAAGACGCTCATCAGCGTTGGAAAGGTACTCCGTCCTTGCAATATCTGTGCGGAACTGAAAGGGGAGGGCGGTTATCTCCCTCTTCTTCAAAACTACGGCTGGGTACAGTTCTCAAGTGAAGACTGTAAGTTTACTGACCATCAACGTGGCTCCCACCTCTGACACATCTTTTGAAATTCCCTACGGGTTGTTACCTGGATGTTGGCTTGCTGCAAGTGATGGGACCAGGTGGTAAACAAGTTCTGACGCATCTGCTGGTCAAAATAACCCGCGTAAGCAATAAAGGCAGCTGACAAGAGACAGTCCCCAGCGATGGTGGACATCTGGTTTTTGAAAGTTTCACTTGTTTTTTCCCATCGTTCACGCTCAGCAGACAAACTCTTTAGAAGAGCAGTGCTCCGGTTTACCTAAAAGGAAAATAAAACAAGATTTTACTGAAAAGTGCAAACCTGCTCCTCCACATGGTGCGCAGGGTTTTGGGTGGGCTAGGAATAGGAACACGCTGAGGCTGTTCACAGTCCCAAAGCAGACGGGACCCAGGTCACATACAACTGATGACGACACACGTCTTAGCATCTAATCAGGGCGAATCAGTGGGACGAGTTAGAGAATTAAGTGTCAGCCTAGAGACTCGCGCAGGAGCAGAGACGGGAGCAAGAAGGGCCTCGGAGGTGGAAGGAACAGCCAGGTGAGGGTTGGCCTGGAGGGAAGAGACACTGGTGGCAGGAGATAAGGGAGTATTTTGAGGATTCAAGAGGAGTGCAGGCACGAGTGATGGAGACAGCAGCGGACCCTGACAAGGAGGCCCTCAGCGACGCCACTTAGGAAGTCAAGGTGGGAGAGCAAACAGGTTTGGAGCGGGCTGCGGGGGCCGGGGGTTCACTGGCTTTAAACTGCCCAGCTGGTTTCTATCTATCCTAATTAATGCCACTCAGTAAACACAGGAAGAGTCATCAGGACCCTCTCAGACATTAAAGAGCGAATTCGCTGACATGAACATGGTACGTGCAGCACATGTTAACGTGTGTTAATCTTGGCTTCCACCACATGAGGCCAGCACCTCCTATTAAACAACGCTGAAAGAGAGAACTCCAGGGGAGTCAGCAGCAAGACTGCAGATGCCTGATGACGATCTTACTTTTGCTTCGACAGCGGCCAGGTCCGCTTTGATGGCCTGGGCCTCCGAGATCAGGACAGCGTACTCCTCCTTGTAGCGGGCGATGCTGGCTTCCAGATCCCGGATCATCTGCTCCACCTCGTTGGCCTTCTGCTGGTTGTCCTTGGCGTCATCCTCCAGCTTCTGCAGCTCATTGCGCAGAGGCTCCACTCGCTTTAACATGTCTGCATAGTTAAGCTGAGGAGGGCAAACGGGTAGCTGTTGTTTAAGAGGCCTGGACAAGAGGTCACCTCTCAGTGGGAGCTCCCAGCTGGCTAATTACCTGTGCGATTGCCCATTTGACCATAGGGCCGCAGGCCAGGGAAGCCCTGTTTACAATTTCATAATTGTAGCTTGGATTGGACATGTAGTTTTTCTTCATCTTCTCCCTTATGGCATCACTGCAAAAGAGAAACTGCATCTCTGAGCACATGTAGGGCAAAAGTAGAGAAGAGTGTTAGAAAGTCAACGTGTAAAGGCCAGTCCCATGTGTCGCCCCAGTGACTTCTGAGGACGAGCCAGACCGACCCTGGTTCTAGGTGACAGTGGACACTGCTGCTGAGAAGGACTCTGACCTTCCCGCCCCTTGCCCCATCCCGACAAGAGAGAGACTCCAGGGCCAGCTCTGTTGCAGCAAGGGGCTGCGTCCTCAGAGAACTCACAGCTGGCTGTGGGGACAGAACGGGATTCAGCTTGCCGGGGTTAAGGGATCAGAAAACTACTGCCAGGAATGTGGGGAAGAAATCTGACTACTTCTGGGGCCGGCCCCGTGACTCAGCGGTTAGGTGCGTGCACTTCACTACTGGCGGCCTGGATTCGGATCCCGGGCGTGCACCAACACACCGCTTGTCTGGCCATGCTGTGGTGGCGTCCCACATACAGCAACTAGAAGGATGTGCAACTATGACATACAACTATCTACTGGGGCTTTGGGGAGAAAAAGGGAGAAAAAAAAAAAAGGAGGAGGATTGGCAATAGATGTTAGCTCAGGGCCGGTCTTGCTCAGCAAAAAAAGAGGAGGATTGGCATGGATGTTAGCTCAGGGCTGATCATCCTCACCAAAAAAAAAAAAGAAAGAAAGAAATCTGACTACTTCGAGTGGCAATGGCCTAGAAAGACATGCGTGTGACTAACAGAACTGACACTGCCTTCTGGCATAGGACATGTCAGAGACGACAAGGCCATGAGAAAACAGGAAAACTTCTCCCCTCCTCAACAATGCCTCTCCCTTCTCGGCAGTGCTCACCTGATCTCCTCTGCAGAGAAGTTCACGATGGTGGGGATGAAGTTCTCCCGCATGATGATGGAGCGGATCTGCTTCCAGTCGGTGGTGCTCTCGCCCAGCAGCAGACAGATGGACTCGAGCGCCAGCTTCACGGCGGCAGGGGGGTTGGCCATGGAGCGCACCTCCACCAGGTGCTGCTTCTTGATCGACTTCACGGCTGCGCAAGCGCAGCAGCAGCAGCAGCAGCAGAGGGGGTTGGGGGGTGGGAGGGAGACAGCAAGCTCAGTGAGCAGGGACCCAAACCACAGACACCGACTCCAATTAGAAAAGCGACAGCTGCTCAGAAGACCTAAGCGAATGTAGGATTTTCTGCCTTAAAATCCTCCAGAATAGCTTTCAAATAATTCTAAAGCTCTTACTGTACTAAGCCCAAACTGCAGCGTCCCGTAAAAAGCAGGATATGATATAAAAATGTCTCAGAAATCCTCATTAATTCCCTTACTTCCATAAAGATTAAAAATTTTTTAAAAATTTACTTGAGCATTTCTTTTATATAATTTAAACAGACATTTTCAACCTGTCACAATTTAGAAGTTGTCTGACTGGCTGGGTGAAGATATGGAATTAGCAGTTCTAAAAAAAATGGCCAAGCCTTCCACAAGCTGAAATGTACAGTTTTCCAGGCTCAAGTTTTATTAAAACACTTTTTAAGTAATTACTCAGCAAGTGATAGCTAAATTAAATTCTTATCTAAATCCAACTCTGAATGAAAATCTACAGTTTGGATGGTGCATTTTACTTCATCTTGTGGTGTAATGTGAAAACTACACATAATTAGGTTATTTGAAACAAATTAAATGCTAATGGGCAGGAAGGGAGCACAAGGTTAACGCTACGCTTTTTTTTTTTTTTTTTTTTTAAAGATTTTATTTATTCAGTTTTTCCCCCCAAAGCCCCAGTAGATAGTTGTATGTCATAGGTTCACATCCTTCTAGTTGCTGTACGTGGGACTCGGCCTCGCGTTGGACAGAGAAGTGGTGCCTCGGGGCGCTCCCGGGATCCGAACCCGGGCCGCCAGCATCAGAGTGCGCGCACTTAACCGCTAAGCCACGGAGCCGGCCCTAACGCTACTCTTAATTACCGTGTAAACTGCCAACTAAAATAGGGTGACAGGTTACATCCCTACTTCTATAGTATTTCACAGGCACATACGAAGTGGAAAAGGAATAAGAAATGACTGCTACCAATACTTAAATTAGTAATCATTGGCCACGGCCAGAACACTATCAGAAATAACTACACTGGAGGGCAACACTGGACATTTTATAGTATTTCTGGGTGAAATTCAAGTCAGGAATTTATAAATAGAATATTTAAGTAATTATCACCAGATTTTTAAAAAACATCTATCGACATAAAGCTTATTTTGTCAACTTCCTCTTAGGAGCAGAGTTTCACTATGGTGAAAGCAGATTAGCTTTAGAGGAACTTTGCTTTAAGAGATAAAAGCACTCAAGCATTTAGAAAAGCCTTTAGATATTTACCAATACAGGCACACCTTGGAGATATTGTGGGTGTGGTTCCAGATCAGCACAATAAAGTGAGTATCACAATAAAGCGAGTCACAAGAATTTTTTGGTTTCCCACTGCGTATAAAAGTTATGTTTTAGGGGCCGGCCTGGGGGTGTAGTCGTTAAGTTTGCATGCTCCACTTCGGCAGCCTGGGGTTTGCAGGTTCCAATCCCAGGTGCAGACCTACGCACCGCCTGTCAAGCCATGCTGTGACAGGCATCCCACATATAAAGTGGAGGAAGGTGGGCAGGGATGTTAGCCCAGGGCCAGTCTTCCTCAGCAGAAAGAGGAGAATTGGCAGATGTTAGCTCAGGGCTAATCTTCCTCACCACACACACACACACACACACACACACACAAAACCCTTGAATGTCAAAAAAACTCCTTGATCCATGGGGTGCAGAATGGATGTTCTATTAGTAGGCATGAAAACAACATAAATCTCATTATACATCTCCATCAGAGCTCTTGAGTGACCAGGCACTTTGCCAATGAGCAGTAATATTTTGAATCTTTTTTTTTGAGCAGTAGGTCTCAATAGTGGGTTTAAAATACTCAGTAAACCATGTTACAAACAGATGTGCTGGCATCCAGGCTTTGTTGTTCCACTTATAGAGCACAGGCAAAGGAGACTTAGCATAATCCTCAAGGGCCCTAGCATTTTCAGAATGGTAAATGAGCACTGGGCTTCACCAGCTGCATTAGCCCCTAAAAACAGAGTCAGCCTGTCCTCTGAAGCTTTGAAGCCAGGCACTGACTTCTCTTTAGCTATGAAAGTCCCAGATGGCATCTTCTTCCAATAGAAGGCTATTTTGTCTACGTGAAAATCTGTTGTTGGGGCCGGCCCCGTGGCTTAGCGGCTAAGTGCGTGCGCTCCGCTGCTGGCGGCCGGGGTTCGGATCCCGGGCGCGCACCGACGCACCGCTTCTCTGGCCAAGCTGAGGCCACGTCCCACATACAGCAACTAGAAGGATGTGCAGCTATGACATACAACTATCTACTGGGGCTTTGGGGGAAAAAAAAAAAAAAAAAATCTGTTGTTTAGTGTAGACCGTTGTTCGTTATCTTAGCTGGATCTTCTGGATAACTTGCTGCAGCTTCTACATCAGCACTTGCTGCCTCACCTTGCACTTTTATGTTATGGAGACGTTCACAGAATTGAAGAGAGTTAGGGCCGTGCTCTGGATTAGGCTTTGGCTTAAGGGAATGTTGTGGCTTGTTTGATCTTCTATCTAGACCACCAAAACTTTCTCCACGTCAGCAATAAGGCTATTTTGCCTTTTTATCATCCCTATGTTCACAGGAGTAGCAATTTTAATTTTCTTCAAGAACTTTTCCTTTGCATCCACACCTTGGCTAACTGTTTGACACAAGAGGCCTAGCTTTTGGCCTAACTTGGCTTTTGACATGCTTTCCTCACTAAGCCTAATAATTTCTATCTTTTGATATAAAGTGAGAGATGTGCGACTCTTCCTTTCACTTGAAGACTTAGAGGCCGTTGTAGGGTTATTAATTGGCCTAATTTCAATATTGTTGTGTCTCAGAAAATAGGGAGGCCCCAGAGAGGGAGAGAGACGGGGAACAGCTACTTGGTGGCACAGTCAGAACACAACACGTATCAATTAAACCCATTGTCCTGTATGGGGCTGGAGTGTGGCACCCAAACACAATTACAGTAGTGACATCAGAGACCCCTGATCACAGAGCACCATAACAAATATACTAATAACGAAAAACCCTGAAATAATGAAAAACTTTGAAATATTGTGTCACTGAAAACGTGACAGAGAAATGAAGTGAGCAAATGCTGTTGGAAAAATGGCTCTGATAGACTTGCTTGATGCAGGGTTGCCAAAAACTTTCAATTTGTAAAAAATGCAATACAGTTATGTGCCACACAATGACATTTTGGTCAACAACGGACAGCATATCTGATGGTGGTCTCATAAGATAAGTACCATATAGCCTAGGTGTATAGTAGGCTATACCATCTAGGTTTGTGTAGGTTCACACATCGATGATATCAACTAATGATGCATTTCTCAGAATGTATCCCCGTTGTTAAGCAACACATGACCATATTTGTGAAGTGCAATAAAACAAGGTATGCCTGTAAAGCTTTCGGAAACAGACACAACTGCAACGTTTGAGGGAAGCCCATGTTCAGTCCTCTAAACTCTACAGTAATGTGTAGGGAGAGCATCCTTTCTAGAAAGCCAGGCCTCTGATGTATTTACATACCATTCTGGGCCTCAATGACAGCAGGCTCCACCTTGTCAAGATCTTCTTTGACGCTCATTTGTTTGTCTGCAATTACTTCCTGCTGCTTATGCAGCTGTTCCTGAATTTCTTGGCTCATAACCTAGAAAGGAAGGACGGTTTAGCTATGGGTTAGGCATTGGTTAATTTGCTGAGTGAATCCTAAAACACTCCTCACCCCACCCCAAACACATACACACAAACCTCACCACTAACCCGTTAAACCCTAAAACGCATCTCAGACTAAACTTCCTACTCTCTCATTAGAGGCTGGAAACGCCCAGCCCACACAGGCCACAGCTCTGAAATAAAAAGAAGCACCTTTTTCTTTTCGGCCTCCTGTTGGTCTTTCACCATCTTTTTCAGCTTGTCGTTGGCCGCCGCATTCTTTACCTCCAGCTCTTGGCTCTTTATCCTCAAGTCACGACGCAGCTCTTCTACCTAAAGAACAAAAACCACATTAGGAAAATAGAAACATGTAGAAATCACCTCAGAAGGGGTCCTCGCTCCAGTGCACTCCCAGTAAACGCAGCTTACGCCTGTGATGTACCTGGTCGACTGTCTCCTTGATTTTTCTAAGCCCAACGTTCAAATGCATCTGCTGCTCCTCCAGCTCGCTTCGCTTCTCATGGAACAGGTTGGCGTAATGATTAATGAAGTCCAGGTAGTGGCGAGGCGTGATGGCCATCGTTCTGCCTCCTCGCTTTGCCAGCCGAGCATTAGCCTTTTAGAAAATCAAGTTAAATCTTTTCACTTCTCAAGATGTTCTCTGTGATTTAACCTCAAGAAACTCTCTAATTGTTCTGCCTGTTGGACCACAGTGTGACAGGGTCCTGAGACCCCGTCCTCAGGAGTCACGACACTCGAGTTGGGGTCTTAGTTCAGCCTCTTACGAGATCTCAAGAAGCTCCTTAAACCTCTAAACTTTCTCCTCAAACTTCTCCAAGATGAGGAAGGCAATTATGGCAACCTCAGAGGAGTACTTCCCAGGAAAAGGCTCCACAAACTGGTAATTACTATGAAATGTTAGTTACGCCTCCTCTACCTTCTCCTGGTTGGATACCAAAGCAAGACACAGCACTAGCAAGAGACAGGCAAGGCAGCACAGCTGCTCTGGTCCCCTCAGGCTAAAGGGAGACGTCTGAAGCAGGGCAGCGAGAGAGGAGAGCAGCACGGGAAGCCAGGGCTGGGCTACACTGTGGAGGCCTGCAGGTGTGGTGGGGGTGGTAGGGCACCCACAAGATGGAACGCCTACAAACTCAGGGTGTTTGTTACAAAGCTTTTCAGGTGAGAGCTGACTGGACTCTTCTATTAGAGTCTGAAGCAAGGGTCAGCAAACCAGGGCCAGCAGGTCAAATCCTTCCACTGCATGTTTCTGAGAATGAAGTTTTAGTGGTGCATAGCCACACTCACTGGTTTCCGTATGGACTATGGAGGCTTCTGCACTACAATGGCAGAGCCGAGTGGTTGTGCCAGAGACCTGTCTGGCCCACAAAGCCTGAAACATTTACTATCTGGGCCTTTACAGAAAAAGTGTGCTGGCCCCTGGTCTGGAGGAGAGAACAAGGGCTTGGACACAGGGGTAGTGAGAAGAGAGAAGCAGAGAAGAACGCTTCACAGAGGTGGGATCATGGGGCAGTAAAAGGGTTAGAGGACTCCAGAAGGTGCAGCCCATGACAAGAAGGATGAGATGTCATAACAGGTAAGGACACAGGCGAGAAACAGAGACCTCCCTTGCAGGTGATGGAATAGCGTCAAGTATGAAGTACCTTAGGGTCTACTGTTGCATCGGTTTAGTTTTATGTTAGGACGATGGCTAGTTTTGCTTTTTCCATGATCTCAAAACTGAACCCACCTGGTGAAGAGTCTGATGAACAAACACACAGCTATTTACAATAGCTTCCCGATGTGACGGTGGCTGCGGTAGTTTGTCATACACAACTGGCATGTAATCAGGCACAATATAATTCGGCTTCTCCAGGTCCATTTTACTTGTGAATTCTTTGCCAACTTGATACAGTGCTTCCGTGGACCAGTCCCCAAACCAATTCAACACACACCTGGAAAAGATGCCCATATCTCAAAACAGCTACCAAGAGCCGGGTTTGCCCTTTAGAAGGAAACCAGCTGTTCTGACCAGGGCTGAGCGGTGATCAGTGCACCTGTTGAAAAGCGCCGGGGAGGTGGCTGCGCGGTCCTTGAGTCCCTCTGAGGACGGGTTCATGGTGAAGACAACGTGGAGGTTGCGGATGACCTGGCTCGTGAACCATTTATACAGCTCCTCGTGTGAGTCCAGCATCAAGCCCTCCTTCTGGGCCCCCTCTTTACACTGGGTCATCAAGGTAGCATACTCATCTCCTTCAAAGAGACCGGGAACCTAGGAAATAAAACAGCATGATGACTGATTGGTCCTCATAACACGACACCAGGTAAAATGCAACACAACTCACTTAATTACCTCTCCATTGGCCAGAAGGGTATTCATTCGCTCCAGGAATCCAGAGTCTAATACATTGGACTCATCCATTATAAATGCTATCTTTTCATTTTTACAGCCAGAACGTCTCAACACTGTCCGGAGATCTTCATCAAAGTCTTCCCCTGTGTACTTCCTATGGACCTACAGAAGCAGTTGGCAGGTTAGGTACCTTCTCATTCAAGGAGCTATGTGCAAGAATCAAGAATCCATTGTTGGGATTAAGAGGCTACGATCAGACCCACCTTAATCTGATACACACTCAGACCATTCATCCAGGCCACAAAACGGGACAGGGTGGTTTTTCCCGCTCCACTGACACCAATCAGAAGCAAGTGGCCTTGAGGTTGACGGAATATTCTGAAACATTAACATAAAAGATAAATTTTAAGGCTTTTATGCTCCATTCCCCTTTTGACCCTCACGTGCCAAACTTTTTTAGGATTTTATCTACAACATTTTGAATGTGTTTTAACTTGAATTTGTACATTAAATGTTTGTTGAGCAACTGTTATTTGCCAGGTCCAGTGCGGATGCAAAGATCAATAAGACATGGTCCTGTCTCCAGACGCTCAGATGACAGGAGGGAGACAGACTCAATTCTAATAGGAAGTTGAAAGGCTGTAACCACCGTAGCTGTAAAGTGCTAGGAGGAGCAGAATGAAGTTCTGCTTAGAGGAAAGTCCAGGACAGTGAAACTGGACTCAGAAAGAAGAGAAGGGGGAGTCGCTTGGAAGAGAAGGCTGAGGAGGAGGTAGAGGCAGGTCAGTTGGGAACAGCATGAGGCCTGGCATGAGCCCCCACCCCACATTAAGTCAAGAGCAGTTTAGGAGAGTGGTGAGGCTGTAACAACAGAAAGCCCACCGGTCAATCCTGAGCACGTGGTCTAACACTTCATTAAACAGGACCAGAGGAACATCAAGTTCTTCTTCATAGAAGACTTTCAGCCTAGCTTTGACATAATCTCTTAACTCTTCTTGGTCTACTGGGATGTAATCCTGTAAAAAACAGGTAAGACCCAAATTACTAAGAAGAAATCATCTTAATTATTATACCAAAGTCAATTATATTTCCATATACTAAGAAACTGTTAAAAATGCATTAAAAGAAAATATGATTTACAACACATCAACAAAAATGTAAGTTAACTAGGACTGGATGTAAAAACATGTAAAATCTTTACAGAGAAAATCAAACTTCACTGACAGACATCACAGAAGACCTAAATAAATGAAGAGATATACCAGGATCATTGAGAGAAAAATGCACTATTGTAAAAACACCAGTTCCATCCAAACTGACATCTAGAATCAATGTAATCCCAGTCACTATCTCAACAGTGGAGGGTGGTGGTTGTTCAGTGCAACTTGTCGAGCCAATTCTGAATTTCATTTGGAAGACGAAAGGGCCAAGAATGGTCAAGATCCCCCTAAGGAAGAATCAGGTGTGAGGGCCTACCTACCAGATAGACTTATTACTGTCATCAGGACCATGTGGTTTTAGCACAGGAAGCAACAAACAGATCAATGGAACAGTACAGAGCTCCAAAATAGACCCATGTGTACAGGGTGACACTGCAGAGCAAAGGGTTATCCAATAAACAGTGCTGGGACGACGGATGTCCACAGGACAAAAACTGAAAATGGACCGTAGCTCACTCTATACACAAATTTAATTACAGATGGATTAAGGGTTTAAGTGATACATCGTTAAGAAAGTTTATTCTTCAAATTATAAAGAGAGTGAAAAGACAAGTCACTGGGAGAAGATACTGCCTACAAATGAAAAAGAATTGATATCTAGAGTCTAGAAATAAATAGAATATTCTAGCAATACTGAACCTACCTACCTTGCTATTTCTTGCTTCTGTGCATTTGCTTCTGTCAGGTCCTTGGCCTGGCATGCCCTTCCTGACACTCCTTCCTGAAAAAGGTCTACGAACCACTTTAAGACCCAACACAAGGGTCAGCTCTACCACAGATCTCTCCCCAGACTGACTCTCTCCCATCTGTCTTTCTCCTATTAAACTGAACTCCTGCATGAGAAGCACCTACTGAATGAAATGCACATTGAGAGAGCAACTTACTAAAATACCCTACTCTATTTTTCAGAGAAAAGAACAACTCATAGCTATTCTGGAAATATCAGCTTTGTTTAGTATTTTAGTAAATGAAACATTTTCACACAAATTATTCACAATTGCCCTGTTTTTAGTGAGGAAAGTGAAAGCAAAGACTTCTTTCACAGCAAACACTGAAGCCACATCTTCTGCTCGTTGGAAATGCAATGCTCTTGTAGCAACCATCTCACAGGAGAAAGAAACACACAGGTGGCAGCCAGCCAGAGCCACCTCCTGGGATTTTCTACCCTAAATTATCAAAGGCTGCAAATAAGTAGGGCATCGTGCCTATTTACAGTGTACTTCAAGACAGACATTTTTGATTAGAAGATAATTCTAACTAAAAAGACAGAAGAAAGGAAGTACTTCTAAAACGACGTAAATTCGTTACCTTTGACAACCAGTTGCTATACAGGATGGGCCGGCTCACTGCCTTCTCCTTGTCTATGTTAGGGAAGTGCTTCAGAGCTACCATGTCGATGTTCTCATCCGTCCAGCGCCTCTCCTCATCTTCTACGAGTCTATTGGAAGAAGAGCACATATCTATCTGAGTCTAGACAGAGGCCTCGGTGAGAAAATACCAGGTTCTGTAGATGTTGTGGGCTCCTCCAAGGGCTGGAATTAGTCTTCACTAGAAATTCTCATTTTCTACAAATGGAAGAACCTAAGAATCTGAACTCAAGATGGCTTAAGTGATCTGAAATTTTGATATTAAATATAAAACCCCTCAGAACTAGGGCACCACTACATTTTTAAAAATTCCTCTAAAAATGTTTAATTACACTGAGTTTTGATTCTAGTGCCTAAGCTTGCTTAATATAATAAATGCTCCCAATATCATGGGGGCATTAAGGGAACAGAAATAAGGAAAATAAGAAAAAGCTGTGGGCCAGCCCGGTGGCTTAGCGGTTAAGTGCGTGCGCTCCGCTGCTGGTGGCCCGGGTTCGGATCCCGGGCGTGCACCGACGCACCGCTTGTCCGGCCATGCTGAGGCCACGTCCCACATACAGCAACTAGAAGGATGTGCAGCTATGACATACAACTATCTACTGGGGCTTTGGGGGGAAAAATAAATAAATAAATAAATAAAATTATATATATATTAAAAAAAGCTGCAATGTGTACAGCCTTGGCATCACAGGGCTTATTAAAAAAACCACAAAGCAAGCAGGGGAGACTGTAACTGTCCTTACAGGTGTGGGGGTACCTTAGAGAAGCTGAATATATGGAATACTTAGCAGGCGACCAGGGGAAGGTCCAGTGAAAGCATGCCATGTAGCTACTGCAGCCAGTCAGAATTTAAAAGCACAGTTGCTATTGCTACATTTGAACCTAAACAAAATTATCTCTGGTTATTTTGTAAAAGCTGTGAAAATTATATTGCAGTTCAATTTTTTTTTTTTTTTAATTAAAAAAGGGAGAGTGAAGGTAGCTCACGTAACAACAAAGACGACATTTTTAAGGTGACAGAACTGCAATACAAGAGAGAAAAACAGGGCTGCCAGGGCTGCTGTGCTCCTCACTCTGCCTTGGTCAGCTCATCTCCTTCACTGGCTCTTCGTGAGGCAGCCCTGTGGAACCCCAGAACTTCAAGGAGCCTGTTTGAAAAGCAGTGATCTACAACGATGCAATATTCCGAGACTCCTTGAAAGCATGGATAAGAAAAGCTGTTGCGGGCAGGAATAACTGGTCCGGGGGGATAACTGCCAAACGCTGAAGGATTTCTTGGTCTGGAGGGAATCAGCTGCCTTGGGTTCTCCCAGGGGAGTAACTACTAATTAACTACCCACTACCCACAAGTAACTACCAACTACCCACAACTGAGCCTACGAGTGGCCAGAGGGGCTTGTCCTGCTGGGACTGTGTCCTCTGGCGATGGGCCCCAGGGGCTCAGAGGACCTGCCCTGCCACCGGCGTCCTGCACCCCTACTTTTACTCTGCTCTGAGTAACCTGGTTCATGGGCAGGACGTTCCCCCAAATAATGTGCAACAAGAAACTGTGGTGCTGCAGTAAATGGTAAATCAGTTAAGATATCTTGTTTATTAGAAGTTTAGAGTTAAAGCAACACATATTTAGCTTTTTATCACTAACCTGAGTCTAAAGGACTGCAGTACTAAACCATATAAAATTAAAAATAAAAGAGAAAGAAATAAAAAATAACAGGGCAGGGGCTAGGAAGATTATGAATTTATTATAAGACAAAGATTGTACTGAACTATAAAGAATGTAAGAAAAGGGTCAATAATCTTCAAGACTCCTTGAAAAATAAAAAGACTCAACTTTTTATGAGACTTACTGTGACTCAAACCACAAAACCTTCTGCGATCAATGCTGATCACTACCACTGTTAGTAATTCTTTCCCTTAAGTCCTGGTCACTTAACTAGAAAAACTGAAAACTTACAAGGCAAGACTTGATACCAGTGGCCAACAAGTAAAAGAGAAAACCAGTCCCAGAGACACAGCTGCATATCCTTTGATGGGAATGAAGACCGAGGATAAGGAAGAGGAGTGCTGATTATGGCAACCACACACGAGGTACTTGCAGGAAGGCATTTTAGTTCACCAGTGAACTACATGCTTTGACAAGGTCATTACAGGGAACTACCTTGTGTGGTGCCCACTAGACAGTTAAAGAGGTTAACTGAAGTGCCTTGCCGAGGTCACACGGAACCAGTGGTGGGCAGTCACAGCACACGGAGACCCCCTTATATTGGGGGTGGCTATGATCAATTCCCAGATGCAAGGCTGCCCCCACCGCCTCCGCTCCCATCACCAGCTCAGCCTGGCTCACCCTTGGGCAGGCCAGCCTCGCACAGACCATAAGTGGGAGAGTCGTAAGAACTCAAAGTGGGGGAACACGGAGCTAACCGGATCCTTGGCTTTACCTGTCTTGGAAGAGACGGAGGGCTTCGTGTGCCCAAATCCGAATGAGGCCTTCCACAGGCAGAGTCTCCAGAGGTCTCAGTGCCTCAAAGATACCTCGCACCCACCTAGTCATTTCACGGGGTGAATAGATGTAGTGGGGTTGGGTGTCCTGAGTGAATCTCTCCTGTGGGATTCAGAAAAATGCAAGTTACGTGTAAATATTTTTAGACATGAAAAGTGGTTAAAAGGTCAAATGCTGTATAACATTTTTATTTTAAAAATGAAGAATCTAGACCCTGGAATATTTAAGAATGAATTAGTAAATAATGTTGGAACAACTGGACATCTGTCCAGAACAAAGTTAGATCCAAGTTGCTCACTTTATGTTGAAATGAATTATATTTAAAGATCTAAATGTTTAAAAAAATGAAACTACAAAAAAATTCTTTTGAAAATACTTTAAAAAATGTAATTCCTAAGTTGAGGGAAAGCCTTCCTAAGCATGATTTCAAAAGCAGAAATAATTAAAGAAAAAGAAGATTTACAATTGATAACATTAAAAGTTCTGTAGGAAAAAATCTGTAATTATACAAAGTCAAAAGCAAATTATGAAGGGGTGCATTTATATGGTGACTGACAATAATGTACAACTGGAATCTCACAATGTTATAAACTATTATGACATCAATAAAAAAAATAGTCTCAAGTCAAAAAAAAAAGCAAAATAAACACCATGGAAAAGATTTGCAATATTTAACAGGCAAGCACTCATAAAGCATTACGAGTAAGATAGATTATCAATGGAAAATCAGCAATTCTCTTACATCACCTCTTGTTAAAGGGGTAATATGGGAAGGCTTCAAAAAGAAATGCAAATTAAAACCATGAGGGCACTTCTGTTCATCCAGTGGGCAAAGACCTTTTTAAATAAATTTTTAAAAATGTTCATGAGGGGATGGGGAAAGAGGCATTGCTGGTGGGAGTGTAACTGGTCCAGCCCCCTGAGAGCAGTCTGGCAACACGGAGTCACTACAAATGTTGCAGAATAATAATTACATACATGCACATGTTTGTATTGTTAAAAGTGTACATCTGCTTTTAGAAACTGCATAGTATAGTCCCAATTTCATAAAGGAAATTAACATATGTAATGTGTACAGACAAGGACGGCAAGGGTAAGCATGAAAATGCTCACAGTTGCAGTACCTGGGTAGGAGAATGATTTGATGACAGACTTTGGGGAGTCTCTTGGCTCAACAGGAGCTCTGGATAAAGCTCAATCTTTTAACAGAGTTCTTCAGTTACTAAAGGAGCAGAGAGATCCTGCGTACCTGAGACATGGTATAGAACTCCACCATCGCAGCAGTGAGCGGCTCTGCATATGTGCGCAGGGATGGAATGAGCCTCAGCATAGCGCGGTTGAAGGTGCCGTAAATCTGCGTCAGGGAGGCAGGTCCCGGGTAATCCACATACACGACAGGCACATGGCGCAAGAACCTGGGCGGAGACAGCCCAGCTCAGCAGCTCTAGGTGAGGAGCAGTGTGCCGAGGGGAAAGCCACCCTGTCCTGGGCATGGACCTGAAGTGGATTCCTAAATCACCTAGACAGGCTTCATATCACAGTTAACTGAGACCACACACACACTGCTCGAGTTTGGGTCTGATACATAATAGCAGATGCAAAAAACTGGAGAAAGAATCAAGCAGTGATGGGAAAATGATTCAGGCTTACTTCAGTCTCGTCTTGGCCCTAGAGACAGGTCTGGGGCAGTTCACTACTGCCCCGGAAGTCAATGCTTTTATGTTTAAGTGTGTTTCCTAGTACTACCGCACAGTGCAAGGAACCCAGGAGGGAGCCTATGATAAGAAGTATTTTGTTACCTTTGTAAAATTAAGATCAGATTTTGTTGTGTTATGTTTAAAGTGATCCCGGCACTGGTGTGTGGGTAAGGCCAGTGAAGTCTACAGAGCTGCCGTTACCTGTGAGAGAGGGGCTTTCTTCCAGGGTCAGTGGGCGGATTACAAGCCCCGACAAACTGGATTCTCTCCAGCTTCACCCAGGTTTGATCTGAGGTACGGTAAAAGCCTCCATGCTCCACCATCTGAGGAAAGCAGGAGCGTAACACGTTAGGAGCAAAATGTGAACAAGAAATGCTGAGAGAGTGAGGGGGGGACTTGTGGCTATAAACGAACCTGTCTGATGAAGGATATGACCCTCTGTGTCCCGTATTTATCCATGTCTGGCAAGTTGATTTCATCACAGAACAATACCAGCCACTTTCCAAGTTGAACAGGAGCCAAAACGACCCCGTTGGGTGTGCGTCTGTACTCACAATAGTGATCAAAAGTCTTCAGCAGGAGCTCCGGAGTGGTAGCGCTTGAGAAGTTAAGACCCACAACCTTTAGACAAGAAACAAATGAAGTATGGTAAGACCAATCCCGTATTTGAACACCAAAAGGCCTGCAGCCCACCTCCTGGCCTCTTTACCTCCATGTCGGGCAAGGCCCGGAGGGCGCTGAAGAGCGTCATGGTCTTGCCGGACCCGGGAGGGCCACACAAGACCAGCGGCTTGTGCTCGGCCAGCCAGGTGTACAAGAGGGCTTCGTGGCGGACTGTGTCCAGAGTTGGCACGACGACGTCAGGGGCTGCCACCTTGTGCGTCTCCACTTCAATCTGAGGCACCTTGGCCTGCCATGGCGACCACTCTCCGCTGATGGACACCTATACATGGAGACAGGGTGCAGGTCACCCTGGGACCCATGAGCCTCCTCACTTACATACAAATCAGAGCTTTTGGGTTAGTCTGCATTCCTTACACTGCATAAAACTAGAAGGACAAAATCTTTCTAGGAAATGGAAAGATTAAGTGAAAGTCCACAGTGAGGCTGTTCCAGGATGAACTGAACCAAGGTGGCAAGAATCAAGGAGGAAGCCTGCGACCTCCACACACTTACTTCATAGTCAATAATAGGTATGTTGGGTGCAGCGGGCAGCGGCACAGTCGTGATTCTCCTGATGTATTCACCCAGCTCTGCTCTCATTTTCAGCCGACTGTCTCCAGACAGGGACCAGAGAATGGCATAAACCAGATACCGCTATTGAAAGGAAGTAAAATCTCGTTTTTTATAAAATTTCAACAACGACAATAAAAGAAAGACATTTATAGCATTGTTAACCTTACAGAGAGCAGCTCCTAACATTCTTGGATCGTGGACGCCACCTGCACCTTTCCCAGCCCCTCATGAAATCCTGACCCTCTTCCCAGGGAAGAGGACACACCCAAGTGGGCACACCGTTTTAGGAGGTTCACGGACCCCAAGGCCACCCGTGGACCAGCGCCCCAGTAAGCTCTGCTTCCCTGCGGTGCAGGCACTTCCTGACCTGAATGTAGCGCTCCAGCTGCTCGATCTGCATGGGGAAGTCGGGGTGGTTGGCATTGTACTGGGCCACGTTCCGGCACGCCTGGTGCAGCATGGAGAAGAGCGAGCCCAGGCAGCGGAGACGGGTCAGGTCCATGATGTGCTCCAGCTTGAAGGCGTGCTCCAGGGCCTTGGTGACCAGGCCATTGGACGTGAAGTATGGCTGCATGATTGTTGCTGCATCCCTTTGAATCTACAAGAGGGAGTAAATGACGCTTAATTATCATTTCAAAAAGCCTGGAGATTTTCATCTATTCTAAATGAGGCCCAGGAGAGGGTTGCATGACCTCTGAGAAATAATTCTGTGGATTGGAAAAATGAAGAATGAAGCTTCAATGACCAATCCTTATTCCTTCATCCTGGTGGTTCTCAAAAATCATGCTTCCTAGGATCACTGGTTTTCACCATTGAAATGGAAAAGGGCAGTCTCTCATCACCTTGCAGAGAAAAGTAAGATAACAAAGAATTCCTTAAATTTTCCCACGCACGTCTTAACGTTGGCAGCTGCAGCTGCTGGGCTTCCTTAGAAGCTGGTTTAAGACAACACTGATTATGTAAACCTCTAGTGAGTGCTTGACTTCAACTGTGAGGAGTGACCATCCGTGAACACGGCTTCCCAACACTCAACGCATGTGAAGGTGCCAGCATCCTCAGGTGCTGATCTGTGGCCCCACTCCGTGGAGTGGCGACGGCCCATGTACCTGCAGCATTGGGGAAGCAGCCTCTTCTCCCTCGTCTTCTTTGCCCTTGCGCCGACGCTGGGCCTCGTCCTCCCCCTCATCCAGGGGGATGCTGCGCAGCCTGGCCAGGAAGTTGTTGAAGATCATGTCCGTGCTCAGCACATCCTCACTAAACCAGACCATGCCGCAGCGCGACACCGTGGCCAGGGTAGCATATTTCAAGTCCTGTACTTCAAACATTATTCGCACCTTGAGAGAAAACATCAAGCAGATTTAATGAGTTAGGTTTGGTAGAAACGTGGATGTTAAAATTCTTTTACCTATACCTGTATATACATTGAAAGGGTGATTTAAATCTAATTTTTCTGCACTTACTTTAAAAGCAAAATATCTTCAATTTGCATCACTCTGCAACATCCACCAACCTCTCTCCACAAGAATTTGGGCAGGAAAAGTGGGTGTAGTGGGAGAAGAGCAGGTGAGACCATGAGATGAGCTCTCGGTGGGACAGAAGCAACAGCTCCCTTGAAGGGGGCATCAGCAGTGAACACGCACCCGGCGCTTATCCTGGGCCAGGTGCTGTTGCATGCGCCCGTGCCTGAACCCACACAATCCTCACACCACCCCTGGAGGTAGGCATGCAGTGTCTCCATTTTACAGTTGGGGTTGGGTACCCTGTCCAGGTCCCACTGCCAGTAGATGGTGGGGCTGAGATTTAAACCAGAGGGTCTGATTCCAGAGCCTTAACCTCGGTGCTAACAAGCCTCACAAGATCAATCTTCTTCAGACAAGTTAGAATCTACTGGATAATGAGCTACAAGGAAAGAACCTCACAAGTCAAATCAAGACATGAGTCTGAGTGAGCGCACATTTTCAGACAGGCACTAAGCACCATGGCTGGTTTCTGAAGTGACAACGACCACCAATGCTGACTCTTTGTGATAAAGGCTCAAGTTCACCAGCTGCTCAGGCCAGAAGCCTTGGAGTCATGCTCGACTCCTCCTTCCTCTCACACCCACCCCTAGTCCATCAGCAAATCCCATCAGCACACGCTTTAAATTACACCCACCACTCAACCACTTCTCAGCACTTCCCCTGCCGCCAACTCCTCCAACCTACCCCCACAGCTGGGCTGCCACAGACTACAAATGGTCCCCTTGCTCCCACTCTGCCCTCTTCAACTACTCTCCAAACAACAGCCAGAGGGATTTTTTTTTTTTTTAAAGATGTTTTAAATTTTTATTTATTTTATTTTTTTCCCTCAAAGCCCCAGTAGATAGTTGTATGTCATAGCTGCACATCCCTCTAGTTGCTGTATGTGGGACGCGGCCTCAGCATGGCCGGACAAGTGGTGCATCGGTGTGCGCCCAGGATCCCAACCCGGGCCACCAGCAGCGGAGCGTGCGCACTTAACCGCTAAGCCACAGGGCCGGCCCCAGGATTTTTGTAAACAAACATGCTACATTGCCCTTGAGCCAGACTCTCCCATGGCTCCTGACTTGCCCAGGGGGCCAGGTCTAGGCCTCAGAATGACCCCCAGGTCCGCCCTCATCTGGCCCCCATATCCTCCCTACTCTCACCCCGACTTTTCTCCCCTAGTTCTCTCTCCACACCAGCCAATGCCCCTGCTCTCCTCGCACACACTGGGCACACTCAGACGAACCTCCTGCTATCTGTCCCTCCACCTAGGATGCCCAGAAGCCCAGAGGGTTTACTCCTTCATCCCCCCGAATCTCTGCTAAAACCACCACCTTCTCAATGAAGCCTACGGGACCCCCTTTCTGACAGTGCAACCTCCACCTCTCACCAACATCAACGGCTCTCTTCCAGCTCATTTTCTCCTTAGCACCATCACCATTTATCTTGTTTGTCTGTCTTCCACATCAGACGTAAGTCCCAGGAGAGCAAACACTTTGTCTACTTTGTTCACTGCTGTATCTTCAGCATCTAGAACACGGTCCAGCACGTGACAGTACTCCAAAAACGGTGGGTCAAAGTACGAATGCAAATCCATGCCAGACCTGCTCACGTTTCCCGATCTGTTAGGTGGTATGTACAGGACCTGTACCAGATGCTCATTTCCAAGGGACAGCCTTGAAAGCTTCCATATCTAAATTCCTCACCCTGTCACTTCCCAGATGTATAATAACTTCAGAAATCCTAACTACAACCCTTACAGGGTTGTAGGAGGGTTAATGAGAATTACGGAGTGTGCTTAATAGCTAATAAATAGTGTAAAGTTATTAATAAGTCCCATGAAAATATTTCTCACTTGCCATAGGAATAGAAAAAAATTTAGTAAATAGAGACTCTGACTTTGAAAATTATTTACACAACTGACTGCTACTCTATGGAAACTGGAACCTCACCTCCAGAGCTGTACTTCGCTAGCACATGAATTTCAGTTAGAACAGAATATTAACCCATGACACACAAAGAAGGCTATTTACATTGGGGGGAAGGCTGAGGCGCTCTCCATTTGGCAGAGTTAGGAGCTTGTTGTCATCCAGCACCGAGTTCAAGTTCTCAACCCACTCAGGATCCACATCGCCGTCAAAGACAATCCACTGGCGCTTCTGCAGCTCGCCTCTCACGTTGTCTATGATCCTGGTTTGGAAGGATTTTAAAAGAGCTGTTGACTACCTCAAGATTTTAAGATTAAAAATGCTCACTCTATAATGGTTTCTCAGTGAATTTTTAATTTGTTCAGACTTTAGCTGGAAAAATAACACATACTGTTGTTATAAGTACAGAGTAGCTAGGTCCCATATTCGCTGGAATGCAAACACTGATCAAAGTGAACTTACTTTCTCAGAACATGTGTGAACAGCCCATCTGTCCATTCCCTGGTGTTGGGGTCCAGGGTTCCGTAGAGGTGGTCTTTGCTGATGGCCTTGGGGTCAATGATATGGGCCACACCTTCCACACCCTCAAGCCTCTCCAAAGCCTTCAGAAGAACACGCCAGGCCATGCTCTTCCCACTTCCCGAAGGCCCCACCATCATCAGGCCATGGTTGATCTGGGTGATCTGATAGAGCTGGAGAACCTGCAGCGCCAGAGAGACCAGCATCACAACCATTCAGGGAAAGACCAGGGAAGGCTCTTCAGCCACTTTTCATGTCAACAAGCAAGAAACGTGTTCTATGAAATCTTAAAGGCAAGTACAAGAAATTTTTAACCAGAGAGACATTACACAGGCCATATCTACAATAATATTTCAAGAAAGGTTTTAACTAAACTGTAGGGAGTTCTTTGATAATTCAGGAAGGCTGGGAGGCAGAGTAACAGGAGACGCTTACCAAGCTACCTCAACATAAGATCCCCTCCAAGGAGAGGAGAGACCAAATGGATGAGCCATTTGTTTAATCCAGTTACAGCATCTCTCAGGCTCAGTATACACCACTTGTATAAATAATAAACTTTGTCTTAAATGAATCTCACAGAGGAAGGAAAGAAAAGAAGCCAATATAGAATGTAAATCTTGTATTGATTAGCAGATTTATGTTGCTAACCTATGGTACTGGAAAAGTTTTGTAGATAGAACTTTTACAAGCATAATCATTTTCTATTATAATCCCATCTTTAGTTAGCATTTTCAGAGAATGAGGTATACCACATAAGTGAACTGTTCAGGTAAGTTTTGCTATCTCTACACTTAAGTTAAGAAAAAATTCAAATAGGCCTTGGGGCAAATCTTCATAAACCAGATGATGCACCTCCCTGGCCTTCGTGGAACGATTTCCATCAAACGTGGTTCCCCCCAGTGGCCCACGTCCATTATTACTGCACACTGCAGCCAGCAGGGTCTGTGAGGGCGCCAGCCAACAGAACAATCCAAGGTACCTTTTCAACCCACGTTCCACCAACTTCTTCTCCATCTCCATACGTCAGATACATCTCCTGGCACACTTTCTTCAGCTCTTCTCGAAGTGCCGTCATTTCACCCCGGTGGTACTGGACTCCAGGGAACACATCCGACAAGAGACTGAAGAGCAGCGGGATGTCTTCTGCCACCAGCTTTGGCACCATCGTCTCACAGACGCTCTGTATCAGAATCTACATGGGGAAAAAATCCTGAGCTCTGAGGGGCAGGGCACCCGACTCACACATTCACCGCTCTATTTCCAGAAGGTATATGATACATGACTGTTAAGTGAACAAAGAGTGTGATTCAGCACTGTCCCACATTCACTCACTCAATTTACTGTGTAAATGTAGTCTCTTCTATTCATTCCAGTACATGTGAATCGCAACGAACTCTCCAGTCATGACTTAAATGTTGAAAAGGTAAATTTAAATAATGTTTAAGGTTTGACTGATTAAAAAACATCTGTACAAACCTCTTGTTCAGGTAGATTTTCTGCAATTTCTCCTTCATCAACTGCTTCACCTCGTTCTTCTTTCTCCCTCTTTATCTTCTGAATTCTCTCCCTCTTCACGTTACCAGCACTTACCAGCACACTCTTCAGAGCTCGAAGACCAAAGTCATAATGGCTTTGAGAAGAGAGCTGCTCATCACATAGTCTAGAAAGGAAAAGGTTTTCTTTAAAAAGAGTAAACTTCAAGCAATAAGAGCATGTGTCAAGACATCAGAGATGGATACTCTGAAAGATGTGCCATAATTACAGACATACACTCTAAATGGCACATTTAACACTCGCTAGAAACATGACCACGAATAACCCTAAGTCACTCACTTAAAGAACGGGACGATTTTGTTGGCAAGAACTTCGGCAGTGCGGAAGCCCTGTGAGTACAGCATGACCTGGGCAATCAGCTGCCGGTCGGGCTTGGTCATGGCCAAGCTCCGGAACAGCTTCTTCAAGTTGTCTGGAAGGTTCGACCTGCCTGCGTAGCCAGGGTTCATGGTGATGAAGATGGCCATGTCTGGGCTCACCTTGACTTGTTTGTTTAGCAGCTCACAAGTAATGGGGGCAGAGGCTGAAAACCAGACGATGGTGTTAAGACTCATCACGTTCAAAAACCATTCTAAAATCTCCCTAAAATTACAAAGCACCCATTTTCACGCCAACCTCGTAAGCCCAGGACTGCAGGGAGCTGCTCTCTGGCCTTTCTGCAGGCACTCCCCAGGCACGTGTATCCACCCTGACCGGGCAGGCCCCTTTTCATACACCTTACTTACACAAAAGCTGTCAGAATGTGGAACAGAATAGGAACAAACATCCTATTTGTGCAATATTGTGCGTCACAAGGTCAACGCAAGAATAGAAATGCAGTCCAACAATAGTTGCATAAATAGAAACCAATGTTGTGACACAACTGATTGGCTTAGATCATAAGAATTACCCTTTCCTAGGACCATCCCAAAACAAACAAACCCCTCTGCAACTCGGAACCACTTAGGGATAAAGTGTGTTTACTCCATAAGACAACATCAAGCACACGGGTAATTGCTTTCTTTGAGACTCCTTTTGTTTTTAGGAAGTCTGGCAAGTTGTTTGGTGAGACAAGTTACTACTATTATGGAATAAAAAGGAACATTATGAGTTCAACTGTGCACATAACCTATCCCCCATCGATGTATCTACTTCCTCCAGCACCCCCCTCTGCCACCACCTCACAAGCCTGGGCTTTGTGTGGAACAAGGTGGGTGAAGCAGCCCTTGGAGCCTCTCAGAACAGGTACTGCTGTTGTGACAGAGGGCTCATTCCCAAAGCTCCACGGTAGAACACTCTACTCTGGCCACACAGGTGGCTCAGAAGGCTGGCTCTCTGGGGAGGAAAAGGGGAGCACCAAGGGCCCACACCAGCCCAAACAATGCATGGCAGACACGGCAGGAGGGAGCACAGAAGCATAAGGGAGCACAGGGACTCTAGTCTACCTGAGGAAGGACTGCTCAGGTTGGGGCTGCTCCAGGACGAGGAGTGAAAATTGCTAATGCAGTATTATCCTGGGTCTTACCTTCCATCTTCAATCACAACTCACCACCCTGCCTGCAACAGTGAGTCCTGGGAGCTAAATTAAGTTCTTGCTCATTTCTAATCAAAGAGGCGGCAAATCAGGCCACAGTGGAATTTCCCTCCCTGTCCTCTAAATAACTTTTAAAGAAAAAGAGAAGTCTTACTCTTATCATAGTTGGGGTTGGAATGCTCGCGCAGCGCTTCCTGAATGCACTGCACCTGCTGGGACACGGCTGAAAGCATCCGCTCCTCCAGGCGGTTGAACTCGTCAAAGCAACCCCACGCACCCACTTGGCAAAGCCCCACAAAGATTCGTCCCATCGCCTGAAATGGAAAGAAAGAAGGAAGCTAAAAACTACCTGCCTCAGTGCTGGCTTGACAGGGCTCAAATCCTGGCAATCTGTCTGACCTTGGGCAAATCACATCTCGAAACCCACGTCTCCTCATCTTTGAAGTGAGAATAATACCACCTCCCCCTCAAGGTGATTGTGAAGGTGAAATAAGATTCACAGGTGAGATGAGCGGCCTAGCGCCTAGATGCAGCAAGTACTTCATAAACAATAGGAATTATTAGCGGACAGATGTATCATACTTTTTCCTCCTTTGCCAATGAAATCCTAATGACAAAGCTGTTATTTTTCTTCTATGGCTTTTTCTTGATTTAAAAAAACCTTTTCCATAACATTTATTTATTCCCAGACCCAGGCACTATTTCTTTAAGAAACTGCCCTTTAAGAAAAATGATGTTACACTAGAGAGTTAACTTTGAAAATAGGAAGCTCAAGTCAACGTCAAAGCACATATGCTGGCTACCTCACACAGTTCAGAATAACACCCATCCCTAAAGGTCTCAGAAGGCCAGATGAACCACAGTGAGCTACTGGGCCAGCGGCTTTGAGAGGTGCAAGAACTGTCTTCCCAACCTGACCCTCTCAGGCCATTAGATTTTAGTGGATCCTGCAAAGCTTCTCACCTGGAAATCAAAGGTTTCATCACAGTTGAAAACTAAAACAAAGCGTCCAAGCTGATGGCCAAGAGCTTTGACAGACTCGGTCTTCCCAGTCCCAGCAGGCCCTAGTATTTGAAGAAAAGTAACTGAGTACTTGAGTCATTACTCAATTAGGAACATATCTTCAGCTTTAAGAGAATTATAAAAAGCAATTTGTTTATAAAATCAAAGTGGATGTAATAAATGCAAACAATTTCGAAGTAAATTAGAATGTAGTAGCCATGTAATTAAAAAATATATTTAAATCATTCACTTAATTTTTAAAAATTACATTTACTCTCTGATTCCATCTGTCCAGGTTTGTGGAGTAACTCACCGAATGGGGACCCCCCCAGCCTGGCCTCCAAGGCTTGTGTCATTGTCAAATAGCAGCGGTCGGTGAGGGGGGTCTGGACCAGCTTGTCCTGCACACCGAGGTACTCAAAGCCATAGTTAAATTTGGCATTTGCCATTTGAATTGACAATTGCTGCAACACGTCAGTTTGCTTAGGGTCAAAGTAAAATCGCATCTGGCTCAGCCATTCAAAAGATTTGGCATTGTCAATCTTGCTTTTGATCAAGGACCTCGTAACATCTCTCTGGTGAACTAACTCTGTAATCTGAAAAAAAAGTCACTTTCAGAGTTCATCCTAAACTCAAGTAATACAGTGCAGTCTCTAGGTGTGTGGATTATTTGGTAGACTTAAATTGAGGTTCTAGGTCCAGTTCCAGTGGCTTTTAGAAAATACTCGAAAACGCAAATTCACTTTTAAAAATGTTATTCATGCAATGCGATTAAATAGAATTAAGAGCTGCAGCAAAAACAAAAGAAACAACAAACAAAAGTAAAAAGTTTCACTTTAAGTAAAAACTCTGCAACTAGCATAAAACGTGACAGGAGAACAGGTGTCTCCATCTTAACAGTCTATCTCCTGCACACTGGGGCGCAAAGCCCAGTAACAAGCAATACTGGCTCAGAGCCATGCCGAGCAAGCCGGGCCTCCTGGCACCGCCTCGGGCACCTCTTTGGGAAGAAAATGATGAGAAAGAGTAAAGACTCTGACCGAGGCTTAGCACTTCCTTTTTATCAGGCTGATGTATATATAACTCCTGTGTTCCACCAAGATTATCTTTCAACAGAAACAGAGAGCCAATACCCACCCCAGAGTTTATCAATATGACATCTCCTTTTCCCCCTAACACCAATTACACTATTTTTCAAGCATGATTTAACTGCTTGAGTTGAAGGCACAAGAGCCTAACTGGCAAGGAATGAGTGGGGCACAGGACTAACCAAGTGCTCCAGCTTCCGTCGTCGGAGTGGGGGCTGCTCCATGAGGACTGAGTCGGCCAACACGTTGAGGGTGACCTCCACATTGCTCAGCACAGAGTGCAAGGGAGCCGCATCGCCGCTCCCACCAATGCTGCTCAGAGCCGTCTCCACGTTTTCAGACCAGGCTATCTGGGCTGACAAAACCACAAGCTGGGCCTGAAAGACACAAGACATGAGATCCAAAAGGACCATTTTAGAGATCAGTCTGTGCATTTACCTTTAGACTATCTCACGTCTACCCTACATTACCTGATATTTATCAATCCAAGTGATGTAGGTATTTGGGTCAATTGAAGTTGCTTTACCAAAAATCTCAACTTCTGTAACAGACTCAGCAAGAAGTTTAGCCAGCGTGACTCTCATCTCCTTTTCTACCAGTGTGAGCCACTCATTGATTTTGGGATGTTCGGTAATTGACACAGGAGTTTTAAACATAACCTGAAACAAATAAAATTTAAGAATTAATATGTGCAAAAAACGGGAGAGAAGTCTTCTTAAGTTCCAAACATAAATTTAACTACCTCCTCTCCTTCACGGGATGAAATGCCCAAGACAACAGAGTTATCCTCATTTAAGATGATGCTTGAAACTCCAGCAAACATTTTCTTGAAATGTTTCTGTAACTTAGCTACATTCTTGCTGTTTCCAATGATTTCAAGCAAATCTTCATCACCCACAAAATAGAACCTAAAAAGAAAGCAGCATTCAACTTGCTAAAATGTTCTATATACACAAATGAGGTGAATCAAGGCAAAACTTCAAATTGTAGGAAGGGAAGGTGGATGTGGATGGTGGTGGACAATCTCCAGCCTGAACTCAGATTACATTCACATTTCTTCCAGCCTTCAGCAAAAGATACACACTTATCTAATGAAATACTGCAGAATTCAATGGATTTCACATCATTAGCCTTACTTCACGAATTCATTTTTTTAAAAATCTGTTTGATTCACACTAAGCAAACTATTCAGAAAGGAAGAGATGTCACTTAGAAAATAACCAGAGCTAAATATTTAAGAGATGGAAGCTGCCTGAGAGGGTGGATGATAGTTTAAATGAGGCTTAATAAACACATCCAAGGTAAAAAACTAAGGATTATTCATTATAATTAGGAATTAATGCATGAAATGGAAATGGTATTCATTAAATGGACCACTGGTAACAAAACTGTTGATGTCAAAAGTGACCAACACAGGCGCCCAGAAGGGGAGAGGAGGGCTGGAGGAAAGCACAGCTGAGACTGAACTTCCTTCCAGCTCGAGTCAGCGATCTCATAACTCCCTTACCTGGGGAAAGACGACCGCTCTCTCTCCAGGTATTCTCCCAGTGCTTTCTGGATCTTTCCTAGCAGGTCTGCCAATCTTTCCAGAGACCTCTGCACCCCCTGGATGTTCAGAACATCCATAACAAGGGGAGACTTGGATACTTTTTTCATTAGAGCCAGAAACTCCGTGCTGATACTATAAATCAAATGAAGACCGACGTTAGCTGTTGTGTAAAGAGTGGTTACCAGCCATATCTAATCTTCAGTTCTTCAGCTCCCTGGCTAGAGGCCATACCTCTGGAACCGCTGGGTTTCCACTGGCAGCAGGTGCTTGATATCCGCACTGCCCGTAAAGATGCCTTCCAGGTAGACCCACCGCCTCTGCACGTCGATCCACACGTCAAACAGAGCCATGATCCGATTCAGTTTGTCTTCCCAGCTCAGGGCATCCTCTTCAAACACCTAATGGGCAGATGGAAGGAGAGCCCAACCACTGAACTTTTTATTCATAGATATGCCAAAACTCAATAAAAATGCAGATTAAGATCCCATCAAGTTATTTGACTCATTTTAAAAACCAGGCATCTGATAACGCTGAGTCAAAAAGTATTATTACAAGGAAAGTGCAGGAGAACGCTCTGATCAGGGAGGGAGTGGCCCCACCAACGGTACCTTGTAGTACGGGGAGAGCTTCATGGCGGAGACACTGTTGATGTGCTCCTTGACCTTGTTGAAGAGGTCATCCCAGCCGCGGATCAAGCGACACTTGTTCTGATAGTTAACCAAGTCTAACTCATAAGTATTCCATACTTCTCTTATCTGAATGGAAATCAGAAAGAGGTGTGTTATCAATATGTGGGCATTCACCAGCTGCACAGCGACTAAGTGTTATGGGGACAAAAAGGACCACAGATGAGGCTGTGTTTTTACACAGTCAGATCTATGTTACAGCCTGAAAAATGACATAAAAGTGGCTGTCAGTCTAATCTAGTTACCTGCTTCAAAAATTCTTCCAAAGCCATCTCTCCTTGTGCCACAAGCAGCACATCCTTGACAACAGCTTCATTTTTCTGCAAGTCAACGTCCCAGATTTGGCCAAGGGTTAGCTCAGAAACAACCCAATTGACATGAAGCCTTTTCATCAACTGTTTCCAATGGCGATCTTTAAGTGCTTCAGATTTCAACTCGATCACCAACATATTTATCTGTGGAGAGAGTACGCAAAGTTACCTATGCAGCTGTGTTTCTAATGGACATCCATGACTGCAGCACCAAGTCACCTACCTTCAGATAACCTTTCAGAAGCCTCTGGACAAACTCATAGGACGCATACTGCCGTAATCGTGCAGGGAAGTTTTTCAGCTGATTCAAGAGGCCATCCAAATTTTGTCGAAGCTGTCAAGAGAAACGCAAGATGATATTCAGTTTGCCAACACTCCTTTAAATGGCAAAATATTTTTTTCTTTTTTTTTTTAAAATTTTTATTTATTTATTTTTTTCCCCCAAAGCCCCAGTAGACAGTTGTTATGTCATAACTGCACATCCTTCTAGTTGCTGCACGTGGGACGCGGCCTCAGCATGGCCAGAGAAGCGGTGCATCGGTGCACGCCCGGGATCTGAACCCGGGCCACCAGCAGCGGAGCACGCGCACTTAACTGCTAAGCCACGGGGCGGGCGCGGCAAAATATTTTTTAAAATGGGTTTAAAAGAAATTTTACATTAGTCTGGATGAATAATGTAAAATGACATGCAGGACATTAAGTGACATTTTGTGAACTTACAATAAAGTTCCTTGTTTGCCAAGTTTCTAAGTCTATAACCATTAATACATGAAGATATACAGAAATGTCCATTTTAACTTGATGTACCTTTCGAGGCTGTACCGAAACCCATGGTTGCTCCTTCATCTGATCGATTTGCTCCCAGACCTTAGAAAGTTCTGACCAAACACCTTTGAGGTCCTGTAATTCTTCTAAGGCCACCTGTGATTAAGAACAGTAAAGCAGTTAAACTTGGGAAACAGAAATCATCTCAATCAGGCAGGGCCCTTGAGATGGCCCAGGTCAAAGGCAGAGTCAGGACGAGGAGCCACGTCCCTGTCTCCCCAACTAGTGGGGTTCATACCTGGACTCGCTCTTCGCTGCCGCTGAGAAGCCCTGTATCTGTCAATTCCAGCGCCTCCTTGGCCTTGGCACACTTTTCTCGGTCATCCTTCAGTCTGCCAAACTTCCCTTCATATATGGTGAGAGCCTGAAGTGCCTCCTCTGGGCGAAGATTGCCCTGAAAGCAGGCAAAGCGCAGAGAATTGCAGTGCCAGGTCTCGGGAGAGATGAATACTTTGGCCCTGAGGTTGGGGAGGGAACCTGCTGGGCTTCTGGAAATGTGTGATTCCTTGAATATGTCAACATTTGTAAACATCTAACAAGATGTACACTTATGATTTGTATACATTACTGAACGGAACTTTCACTTCCATATCTTGACATAATAAAAATATAAATAAGAAAGATGGAACACCTCTTGAACTCAGTCACTGTCTCACTAAAAATCTTGGGAGATAGGAAGAGACGAGTCAGGGCAGACCTGGGCCTGGAGTGGGACACTCCTGATCCAAGGGGACAAGGCTCTTGTGGGCTGCCAGCCACACCCTCCCTGATATACACAGTTGTTACATCAGTTACTGAGAGAAGAATGAGAAATGAAGCACTGTTCTCACTGGAGATGGCCTCTACGTCAGCATTAACACTGTTTACAGACTTCCTTTCCATTTTAACAACTTGCGATAATGACTACATAAAACCTCACAGTTTTCTACCAAAGCAAAATAGCAAGTAAAATTTCAAATAAAACACATTACTAGCTAGGTGAGGTAATGAGAGAGACTCAATTTTGGTGATCAGAATCTTGCCTATTAATCAGTACTCACTCCCCTGCTAGAGCCAGCATTCTGCATAACCCACGGTAGTGACGTTAGTAAAATCAAGACCTTCTTAAAACAGGGGTCTAAAAGCAAAATTAAACACAAAGTAAGACCTTTGGGCCCTGCAGCACAGACAGGACTGAGAGCAGGACGGAGCCCTGACCAGTTGATCGTGGGAGGCTAAATCTGCCACGGGGCCTGGTATGGAAACTTACATCCCGCAACAGGAAACCAGATTAACATTCAGAGTACTTTAACATCCTTCTCCTTTTTCTTTTGTCTATGTTTATATGTAAGTCTCAATAAATACAATTTGAATTCTGCCCCACTAAACCAACTATGCTGTTCTCTACTTGCTTGAGCCTTCCACTCTCTGTCCCCTTTGCCTCAACGCTCCCTCTGGCCATGTGCATGACCCGCCAGCCCCCTCCTTCAGGTCTCCACTTCAATGTCACCTTCCCTGCGGCCTTCCCGACAGAGCAGTAAACCACTAACACCCTTCTTCCTCCCGGCCCTCCTCACTCTTCCCCACAGCACGTATCACCATCTGACTCAAAATACACATTTTCCTTGTTCATCTTTTATTATGGAGTGTAACTCCACGAGAGTAGGGGCTCCTGTCTTCGCTGTTCACTCCTGTATCCCACTGCTTAGAACACAGTCGGTGCTCCATAAATACTTGAATGAACCAAGAAGACTGGCTGTGGCAAGTCCTGGGTGCAGAAAGGTTTAATAACTGTAGCGACGATGACAGAGCCTGCCTCCCCACAGCACAGAGCAGCAGCTGCAGCGTGAGGCTTCCTGTGTCCATGAGAAATCGAAGTCTAATTTTTGAGCATGTTTAAGAGAATAACTTAAGAAAGGAAAAACTTTAATTTTAAAAACCATCTCCTGACTAAATTTCAATTGTCACAAAGGGTTCTGGGTAAAAGAGGTCTAAGTTGGCTTTCATATTTTCAAATACACTATCTGTAAGTACTGCTGTTTTAATTACAAAAAGGAAAAACTTTCTTTCTTGGAAAGCTAAGCCACAGCAAGGCCTTTTACATTGGAAACAAAAGACACCACACTGCACTGCTGGTTTAGGAGAAACTCCTGGTGCACAGTGGGGCGAGACTCACCGTGACAGGCTTGGTTTTCTCCCAGTCTGTCAGCAGGTCAGTGGTGCGGCTTTCCACAGCTCGGTCCTCCTGCACGATCTTCATTTGCAGGTTTGCCACCTGCTGCTGAATGGCAGAGTCTTTCCGCCGCATGATGTCATTGAAGGCCCCCCACTCTCCCTCGATGTTGTCAATATACAGCCAGGAAGGCGGGAACTGGAACCTCTGCTTTTCCAGCAAGCGCTGACCATTGCGGTAGAGCTTGGAGAGTTAAAAAATAAACTGAATTATTTCTTCTATAACAATAATAGAAACTACTGTCAAATTCCCACAAAAGGGAAGACACTCTGTGGCTACAGAACACATAACATCAATACATTTGCTCTTCTCCAGAAACCTTCCATCCTGAGAGTACCATGGTCAGAACGCAGCACATCCGAGAGCCTGCCACAGCTAGTCCAGTTATTGTGAACTAGTTATTACAGCCCAGATGGCCCTGAATAGGAGCTACGTACACTGGAGCTGTGTTTCACTCCCTCATCGCAAATCATAAAACGGAAATTCAAGTCTGATGACTTGAAGATCAACAACTAAAGTAAAATACTTCAAAAGACAAAAAGCAGTGGTTCTCAAACCTTGATGTACCTAAGAATCACCTGCAGAGCCTTTTAAAATGCAGATTCCCAGGATGCACTGGAACAAGCACAGCAGGTGGGTACGATTAGAGGATCTACGGACTGTACCTGAGAAACAGTGCCTACAGGGCTGATGGTGAGAATTTTAACCCTTCATAGAGCTCACCTCAACTTGTTTTTCAAACTGCTTGATCTTCCGTTTCAAAGACTGCACGTAGGTGATGAAGGTCACCGCGTCAGAGGTGCTGGCCGTGTCCACCGAGTGCTGCTCCAATTCCTGGCGAGACTGTTCAAAGAGAGCAGAGAATTTTAACACAGAGCCAAGGTTTACCAGTAGACTAGTTGTGCCGGCAGAATCCTGCCTCCTCACCTTTGAAATCTGGGAATGGAATTCTGTCATGTTGGATCCGAGCATCTGCCCAAATTTGCTGAGAACCTCCTTATGCCAGGAGTCGTACTTCAAGTTCACCTTAGATTGTACCTGCAGGTGAACGAGCACACGACAGATCATCAGTTCTTTCACGCTGGAGTGTTTACGCTTCAACTTCATTATAGTCAAACAGACATGCTGCCTGTATTGCTACCTCGACGTCTTTCACTAAAGCAGCAGAGCTCACCTTGCCGTAATCTATAACCACTGGTCCAAACTCTTTCTTGGTTTCCGCATTGTCAAAAGTCCCCCTGGCCTTCCTTATCTGAACCAAGAGAGCTTGCCATTTGTTGAGATCTTCCCCAAGTCTGTTGTAGATGTTTTCAGCTTGCATATCCCATAAGCACTGATACTGAAGCCAAACCTGCATATGAAAAACGTAGTTAAATAATATAGTTTGGCCTTTCGTTTTGTAGAAAATTAATATGTATTTGCATATTCTGTTAAAAAGGTTCATGTTCTCTCATCACCATTAGAAAAATTCTCACTTCAAATTCTCAAAATTCTCATATCAAAAAAGAATAAAATGTACTGTTCTCCAAAACAATAGTTAATACCCCAGATGATTTGTCCTACTATTCATTCACTCTTGCTTTAAAATAAGCAAACGTGGGGGGGGCCGGCCCCGTGGCGTAGCGGTTAAGTGTGTGCGCTCCACTGCTGGCGGCCTGGGATCGGATCCCGGGCGTGCACCTATGCATCGCTTGTCAGGCCAGGCTGTGGTGGTGTCCCATATAAAGTGGAGGAAGATAGGCACGGATGTTAGCCCAGGGCCAGTCTTCCTCAGCAAAAAGAGGACTGGCATGGATGTTAGCTCAGGGCTGATCTTCCTCACCAAAAAAAAAAAAAAAAAAAAAGCAAATGTTATCTAGTGAATCTTATTACACATAGTCAAGACCTTTTAGCTCTATGTTCACTGTATCTCATACTCCTAAGTGTCTAAAACAGACTTATACGACATATTTGAATGAATTCAGAAGCTTCTCACCTTGACATACTGCTCGACTTCAGTGACAATGCCCATGACTGCAGAATAGGACTCCTCCAGGGCAACGGGGCCATCCGGCATCCGTGTTAGAGCATTCCGATAGAACTTCTCCTCTTCAGTTAACTCGTAATGTACGCCCACCTACCAAACAATGCCGCAAGTGAACACAAGTAGTTTGTTCAAAAAGGTTAACCTCAGAGTCACCTTTCACTTAATTAAATGAACTGAAAGAACAGCTCACGATAAAAATGGCAGTTAAGGGATAACGTCTACTCACGCCAGTCACAAGTAACCAGAAGCCTACTTCTATTTAACTCATCAAACCAACAAAAGGAATATCAGATCAACCACAAGCTGGAAAATGTGGTGTCACTAATGGCACAATGCAAAACCAGTTAAAGAGCACACGGAGTCTACGGAGCAGAGGGCACGGCGCGCCAGAGCAGAGGCCTCGCAGGGCTTAACTCTCCTCTGAGAGGGGAAGACTAAGGCCATGTCTAACAGAACGTGAGATTACCATGACCAAGTATTTACACCAACGCGGATGATGGAACTGATGACTCAGTCATTCATTCATTTCAACGATTTGAGTGCCTGTTATATGCCAGGCACCTTTGTAGATACAATAAACAGACAAAAATCTCTGCTCACAGACTTACATTCTATGGGAGGAGAGAGACAATTAAGGAAAAAGCAAAACATATAGAATGTCAGATGGTGAGAAGTACTACGGAGAAAACTCCTTTCGAGTATTAGGGAGTGGCGGGTGGAAGAGGCTGTATTTTAAATAGAGAGGTCGGCAAAGGCCTCACTGAGGAGATGACATTTGAGCAGAGACCAAGAGGAGGGGAGGGAGGGAGCCATGTGAATATCAGCTACCAGGGATTCCAAGCACAGAGATCAGCAAGTGCAAAGGCCCAGGGGCAAGAGTCTGCCTGGCATGTTTTTTTTTTTTTGTGAGGAGATCAGCCCTGGGCTAACATCCGTGCCCATCTTCCTCCACTTTATATGAGATGCCACCACAGCATAGCTTGCCAAGCAGTGCGTCGGTACGCACCCGGGATCCGAACTGACGAACCCCGGGCCGCTGCAGCAGAGCGCGCGCACTTAACCATTTGCGCCACCGGGCCGGCCCCTGCCTGGCATGTTTGAGGAGACCAGGAGTCCAGTGTGGCCAGGGCAGAGCCAGTGAGGGAGAAGCAAGAGCTGAAGTCAGAGAGGCCACAAGCAGCATATCCCGTGGGGCCCAGCAAGCCACTGTGGGACGTGGGCTTTCACGCTGAGTGAGACGAGAAGCCGTTAACGGGCTCTGAAAAGAGCAGTGTCAGGACTGACATACAATTTAAGACTTACTCTGGCTGCTGTGTTGAACATAGATTTTAAGGAGCAAAGGCAGATGCAGAGGAGGGAACTTTAACAATTCAAGTGAAAGATGATGGTACCATTGGGCAGGGGTGGTAGCAATCCATATAGTAAGAAATAGATTGGGTTAATTTTGAAGATAGAGACAATGGGAGTCAAGGATGATGCCACGATTTTTGGCTTGAGTGGGTTGAAGGACGGGAAAGGAAAGACTGGGGGAGTTGCAAATTTGAGGGAGGGGGATTGGAGAGACATGTCCAGTTTGACACGTCTATGAGACAGTCACGTGGAGATGCCAAGGAGGCAGCTGGATAGACAGGTCTGGAGTTCAGGATAAAGGCCAGGCTGGAGACATGAACACAGAGTTGTCAGCAAACAGCTGATATTTAAAGTTGACAGCCTGGACAAGACACGGAGAGAGTGCGTGGCTGGGTAAACACTGAACATTTAGAGGCTGGGAAGAGGGAGAACAAAAGAGGAACCAATAAAGGAGACTGACCAGCGAGGTGGCAGGAAAATCAGGAGAGCTGAGCAAAAAAAGTGTTATCAAGGAGGAGGGCGTGCGCACCCCTGCCAAATCCTGCAGCTAACATTCTCAAGGGCTGAGAAGCCCACCACACCAGCAGGGTGGAGACCCGGTAATGGTGAGCAGACAGCGCTGGCTGAGCAGTGGGCACAGCCTGAGGGGAAGGGGCCCTGGAGCAGCCCTGCAGACAACTCTCCACGTTTGCTACCAAGCAGAGCAGAGAAATAAGATGGCTAGAGGGGAACAGGGGTCAAGTTTACTTTCTGACAGGAAGACTCAGAAGAGAGGGAAGAATTGCTGAGCAACACAGTGAGAGGGAACGGGATCCTGTGCACAAGAGCGGCTGGCTTCAGTTTGTTAAATTTGGAGATAAACAAGAGAACAATGCAAATAGAAACACAGCTGGTTAAAAGCTGGAGAAATATGACAGGAAACATCCTCAAGATTGCAAATAGACTCCTTGAGGGGCAGGAACCAGTACTCACACATCAGTTCTGATTAGCTGGACATTGCCAAGTTTTTGGCTAAGCATTGCCAAGACTGAAAGTCTACAGGTGGCTGCTACCTTGAAAAAACCTGAAAAGAACTGAGCTTATGTTCATAGTTAAAAGAGAGATATTTCCTAATAGGATCATTACTTTCCAGAAGAGCCTGTTTTAACAGTTTGCAGAAATGTTGTATTTGAAAACCACTGGTCCTGTTTAGCAGTAATATTGCCTAGTGGCCAGGGACTAAATGGTCTTTTGAGTTTTCCCCTTGCTCTAGAAGTACATTAATCCAAGTACATTATATCTTGGATATGCTTTAAACTAATCTGGTGGTGGGGGTGGGGAAAGGACTATAAATTAAACAAAATTGGCCACATGTCGATAAATAAAACTGGGTGCTGTGAGCTCGTGAGACTCCTTTTACTTTTGCGTACATTTGCAAATTTCCACAATAAAGAGAGGGGAAAAAAGAAGCACGAATTAAAATTCCCAAAGAAGTTCATGGAGGGTATTTCTAAGACACTACTGAGACCAAAGCTGCAAACACAACTATTTGGAAAAGTAACTATTGGAAAAAAAATGTGAGGTCACATCAAGCTTCCTCTTGCTTTCCCTTAGAATGCTGAGCCTGTGGCCTGGAGTTTGAAGACTCGTCACAAGTTTGTTTAAAGATGCATAGTGGAGAGGTGGTGTCCCAGAGCCTAGAGGAGGCCTGGTCATGCTGTGAGTCCCTGGAAGGCTCACCTGGTATCTCTGACTCTGGATCCTGGGGAGAGACAGCACAACCATCTTCCAGGCAAACATCTCCTGATACAGCTTGTACCTGCACTCTTCAATTGGCGGATTCAAATAGATGACCTGATTGGTTATTCTTAGCTCATGAACGACATTCTGTAAAAGAAAGATTTCATCTCTTACTCAGCAACCTATTTCAATAAAATGGTTTTGATATATAACACTTTCTCTAAATTATTAAACTACTTCAGTCTAAACCACAAGGTCTATTACTTTATTATTAGACACGGTCTTCTGCAATTTCATGTTTGTGGTCTGTGGCCCTCCCCAAAGGATTTTAAGAGGGCAGGCACCGCTTAGGTTCCTCCTGAGTCCCCCGAGCCTGGGTGTAAAACACACAACAGGTGCTCAGTGAAGTCCCATCTGATTTGATGCGCATGATGATCTCTCGACACGATGACTTTCAGATCCGAGAGACCAGTGACACGAGGCTGGCGGTAGCTGGCAGACATGCCGCACTGATGTAGGTTTACAAGTCGAGCTAAGTCTCTGCCACCTGCTGGTGCTTTAAACTAACCAGGAATTCCAACTCAGTCTCCACCACAGAATTGTGTCAACGTAGACCCACTCACTTGCTTTTCTGCATCTCAGTATCTAAAAAAGTATGCTCTGGGGATGAATATCTGTAATACTCGAAAGTGAAAACATTTTTCAAGCATTAAGAGAAAAAAAATGAAAAGGTAAAGTCTGGGTAGAAACAAAAAAAGCCAATTGTTTCTCCCAGATCAAAGTTTTTATTTGCACAGTTCTCTTGGGCTTCTGTTTTATGAGACTTTTTTTATTAATAAATGTAACACAAATACCGTAAACTACATAAAACAAATGCCTGGCTTAATGAATTTCTGTAAAGTGGACACCTTTATAATCACTGCCCACGTCAGGAGACAGGACCTATTTGCAGAGTTTGAATTAACAGAATTACTGAATTTTCTAGAAAGCTTACTAAGCTCCCGTTGACCACTCCCCTTCACAGAAATGGCAACTAGGTGGCTTGGAGATGAAGACTGCTGTCCAATGTATTGACCACTGTGCTACTGCAGTCTTCCATGAGACTTCAATTTAGATTTTGGTGAAAAGTTACATTTTAGTGCCACAGTCTGAACTTTTACTTATAGATTATATTCAGTTCTTGAAATGATTTCTTACATTTGCTCCGTAAGCAGAGACTTGTTTTTCCACCGTAGGTTTTCTTCTAAAATTTATTTTGCATTTTTAAAAAACTTCTGTCTTTGAAATTATCTTAGACTTATAGGAGAATTACAAAGAAAGTATGAAGTTTCCATATACCCTTCACCAGCTTCCTCTGATGTTAACATCTAACGTGGTACAATTATCAAAACAAAGAAATGAACACTGGCACAATGCTAGTAACTAAATATAGACATTAGTCAGATTTCCCAGCATCTAATCCAGGACACCAGGTGTCACATCTCCTTAATCCCCTCCAATCTGTGACATTTTCTCAGTTTTTCTTTCTTTCTCTCATGACCTTGACACTTTGGAATAGTACTGCTCAGGTGTTTTGTAGAATGACTCTCAATCTGGGTTTGTCTGATGTTTTTCTCATGGTTAGAATGAGGCTGGGAGATCTGGGCAGAGACCACAGAGGTGAAGCGTTCTTCTCATCACATCGTACACACAACACCGCGGTGACACTGACCTTGATCACCTGGGTAAGGTGGTGTCTGCCAGTTGTCCTCACTGTAAAGTGGCTTTGTCCCTGGTACTTTTTAAGGGGAGAATTTCTTTTATTTCCTAGCATAGGAAACACTCACTTTGATCTTGGGCTCTCCACCAGGCTTGTGACTGACTTGCGGTGCATCCGTATCCATGTCAACTTCTGCTTTATCTTCTGCTTGTCCAAGAAGTACCTGGGTCCAAGCTCTTAGGCCAGCTTGTAGGCGAACACCCAATATTCTTTCAATCTATAAAGAAAGTAGTGGCGAAGATCAGTGTTTCTTCCAAAAGTTAGCTCACAGAGCACGTTAAACAGAAGACAGATGTTTCAGGTCAAAAATAAACAGTCACTAACTATAACCCTGCATCTCACTCTGTTCTCAGTTTCACTCCTGTCCCTTTTGCACAGCCTCATATAACTCGAATCCATTAGGCTGCGTTCTCCAGCTGTGGGCTAACTGAATCACCAACCTCCTGACTTATAAGTGACAAGAAGACTAACGCAAATGCAGCAGATGCAGTTAAGGTCTGGATATTTGTTTAATATAACAGAAAATTTACAAAACAAAAGCATTTTCCTGGCAGCCTCAGAGATAAACCTAGAAAACTATAATTTGGAGAGTAAACCATTTTCTTTTAACAAGTAAAGAAGAAAGTCTTCTCTCTGATCTCGAAAGAGAAAAGTAAATCTCCTACGACTAGAACCTCTGTACATCTTTGTGAAGAGTCTGCCTTGGGCCACACAACCACCCTGGGTACACTGTGAGGGCAGCTGTGAGGGATACTGTGAGAAAAATTGGGGACTTTTAGTGGATTCTGAAGAGTGGAATTTGTTGACTTTCTGTTAGTGTCCCACTGCATGGATACACTGCAACTTATTTATCCATTTTAAAAGGGAAAGAGAAAATCTGTGACCCACAGCTTTGGAACTGACCAACCACCACTTGTCCACTGAGTGACCTCTGCCATAAAATATCCTCCTTCCTGAGACTGTTCATAGATGTACTCTCTGATGTTCACCAATGAGAAAGCCATATGGAGCGGTAAGGATGCTTCAAACACATGCATGCACACATGTGCACACTTGCCCTTCCTCTCCCCACACACCTCTACAGGGGTGAACCAAGGTTCTCTACATTAGAAATAAGAGGTATTTTGTTGCTGGGTATTTCTTTTTAAATTGGATGGTGGAGAGGGGCAGGGTGGTCAGAGAAGGATGCCTGGAGGGGAGGGCCAGGAAGGACAACCTAAATTATTAGAAGTGTAGGGAAGAGCAAATAGGAGGTTGTCAAATATCCAGAAAATAAAGAGGGCTCTTTCTCCTCCCTCAAAGCTCCCTGCCTCCAACATGGAACGAACATGAGTACCAGTGGTATCACAGTTCAGCGCTGTTGTTAAATGGGATTTCTGGAGGGAAAACTGGACTATTACTGATGGCATCTATGGAAAAATGCTGTTCAGCCACAAACTAATACAGGCATACCTTGTTTTACTGTGCTTCACAGACATTGCCGTTTTTTTTTTTTTTTTTTTTACCAATTGAAGGTTTATGGTAACCTTGTGTCGAGCACGTCTTTTGGTGCTATTTTTCCAACAGCATTTGCTCACTGAATTTTTTAATTGAGGGATGTACATTGTTTTTTTAGACATAGTGCTATTTTACATTTAATAGACTACAGTATAGTGTAAACATACTTTTATATGCACTGGAAAACCAAAAAATTTGTGTGACTCGCTTTATTGTGATATTAGCTTTATTGCGATATTAGCTTTATTGTAATATTCGCTTTAGCTGGTGGTCTGGAATGGAACCCGCCATATCTCTGAGGTATGCCTGTAAACTTATGAAACAGAGTCCACCCCTATGCTGACAGTAGAAAAAAGAAAAACACTATAATAAACCCAGCCCTTACCTCCATATCAAGCTTGTTGACCCAGATGGGCAAATTGGAATAGGAGTGCAGATTTAAGTCGTCCACGGCCTTCTGGACTCTGTTCAAGATCTCTGAGAAAGTCTTATGATCATACATACAAGTTTCCAAGGAACGGACTTCCAGGTCTATTTTTTCTTCAATAATCAGCAGATCATCCACCTAAAGGAAGGTATATTTAATATTTAAAACACCCATTCACTCTATTCCTTCATTTTTATGTACATTCTTCTTAATTAATTAAGAAATGTTTGATGCAGAGAAGTTCTTCCATAAATAGCTAACCCTATTTGCTGGGGTGAGAACACTTATCCCCATTCCCGTGTCTTCATAGAGGAAAGGGAAATGTATGGAAACTATCAGTTTCTCCTCCTTACTCCCTCCTGCTCACGGGAAGGGCAACCGGTGATTGTAGGTCTGAGAGCAGAAAATAAATGGGCTCTGCTCAGCGCCTTCTCTGTCCTCAGAAGCCAGCCAAGGCACTAGATGCATGCACTTCGGTTTGCGCGCAGCGGCAGGTGCAGGGCCAGGAGGCCTACAATTGTGCAGCTGCACTACAGCCCGGGAAGGAGGCAGGTCTGGGTGGATCCACATCAAGCGCCATGGCTGCAGATCTAGAGCCTTGTTCTCCATGCAACTTTATCAGTAATAAAGCTCTCATTTCGCTCAGTTAGACTCCTGTGTCATCCTTCTCTCCATTGGTTTCTAAACTCAGGGTGTTACTTAACAGCCTCCCTAAAGCCCCAACATCATCAAACAGCCCGGGGAAGTAAAACAGCTGCTTCTCCCTCTCAGCTCACATGGCCTCATCCTATATCAATCATGCACATGCCTTCTGAGTTAGCTATTACTGTGTTTAGTTCACTCCCGGGACACGCAAGGACTAAATTACAGCACACCTTTTCTTGGAAGTTGAAGACAGTCTCTGCTAAGCGTTGTACATAGGGATCAAGTTTGTAGGATTCCCACACCAACGCAATGCCCTCTGCAATCAGAGCCTGCACTTCCTTTTTCAAGCCAGCTACCAGAAGTGAAATGGTGTTCCGCTCCTCCACTTTTTCACAGGTCCTTTCGTAAGTCCGGACACTTTCAATCAGTGAGATGGCAAAGGGGTAGAGCTGGTTTGCTTGATGAGCCTTGTTCACAATCGCCAGTGGGACGCGGAAACCAAGCCACTTGAGGTTTCGAACTTCTTTGGAAAGTGTGATAATCTCAGGAAGGAAGTTAACCTTTAGCTTAAGTACATTTCCACTTCGGCCCCGAACCCGAGTACTTTCAATGGTGAAAATGCGCCCCGAGACGCCGAGGTTCCGCTGCTGCACCTTCCTTGCCCAGTCATCAAATATCTCTTGAGTGTTGAGCTTCATGCGGAAACTGTCTCCATCCTGCTTCAGCTTCTGCCCCTCCACGTGGTTCTCCCATCCCTTGCCCAGGACGTCCTCCACACGCTTCATGTAGGCGGTCAGCTGTCTGTCGATCTGTTTTGCCCAGATGATAGACCCTGACACAGGGGGCAGATCGCGCACATGGCTCATCTTACATGCCTGACTTTGTGGGTACTGGACCTTGAACTTGTCGTGAAGAGACTCAATGTCATCTTTCACACGTTGGATTAGCTGGGTCTGATATTCACGGATGGCCCCACGGATGTGAGGCCTGACAAACAGTGCATTGAACCTGGAGAAAATCCTAAACATCTCGTTAGCATTCTTGGCTGTGCCCAGCTGATCTCGAAGGCGAGCAGTGATGCGGGTCTCCACTCTGTCAATTCTCTCATCATATCTCTTCATTGCAGCCTCCCAAGCTTCCGTGCCTTCCTTGGAAACATCTAGCCCGTCCACTTCCTTGACATTCTCGTAAGCAAGGTTTACTTCCTCAATAGCATTCGCATCAGCAGCATCAAAGAGAACCTCAGCTACTTTCATATCTTGGGGTTCAGGTACCTCTCCTTGATTCTGTTGTGCTACTGCTGTGACCTAGAAGAGAAGGATTTGTAACAAAAAAGGTTTACCACATGAAGATTTTTATTTTGTGGCACACCAGCAGTACACACCACACAAAATTACCAGTCAGCTATATAGGTTTTTAACTTTTAGTCCAACATTTTATAACCACAACTCAACAAAGCCACGTAAAATACCATAGAGTATATTTTAACTCTGCACTGTAAAGATCTGACAATGCAGTTTCATTGCTTCAGAAGCTAAAATAACGTGTTAAAACCTGGGTTTTAGGTACTTCCCTTTTCAATGTTTAGTCTACGATTAAAATTGCATTGGAAAACTCAGTAATCCACAGCAGTGCTACGTACACACTCAGTATACAAACTCATAAATAGTCTTCCTTTTTGATTTTTAAAACCTTAAATTATAACCACCTTGCAAGTTACCACTTACTGTAAATACCACAACAGAGGGACACATAAAGTGTTATAGTAACAGAGAAGAAAGCCCCACTCAGTTCCCTACGTACTACTGGAGAAGAGCACAGAGCAAATACGTGATCTTTAACTCAGGAAGTGTTAGACTTCCACACACACCTCATGCCCACACTCCCACAGAATTATAAAGCTAGGCAGGGGTCTTGATTTGGGGGCCACAGATGTGTTGGATGAAACTCACACAACCTGGGAACTGGTTTGGGGGAAATTATAAACACCTAACTAAAATTCAGCATTTCCTGGGGCCGGCCCGGTGGCGCAAGCGGTTAAGTGCACATGCTCCGCTGCAGCGGCCCGGGGTTTGCCGGTTCAGATCCCGGGCGTGCACTGATGCACTGCTTCGCAAGCCATGCTGTGGCGGCGTCCCATATAAAGTGGAGGAAGATGGGCACGGATGTTAGCCCAGGGCCAGTCTTCCTCAGCAAAAAAAAGAGGAAGATTGGCAGATGTTAGCACAGGGCTGATCTTCCTCACCAAAAAAAAAAAAAATTCAGCATTTCCTACAATTATGAATGTACGCAACAGTCACAGTTGTTTGTGGTTCCACAACTTTGTCACCAATAAATACTTCCCATCACATTACACTCATACATATCCTGAGATCTTATGTTCATCGTTATTCAAAATTATAGTATTAGGCCTGTCACTAAATCTTGCTATTTTATTTGTTCATGGAGAAGCACATAGATTACTAGATCACAATTTCAAAATTGTTAACTGTTTCTTTGTAAACTGTATATTTTATGCATTTAAATTTATGTATTTAAAACATTCTGAAGACTCCTGGTAATTGTAGTGTGAGGGGAAAACTGGAAAAAATTTTTAAAAATAGCTACTTCAGGACAATGGCAAACAACCAAAGGCAGTCCACAACTTGAGACGTGTTTACTCATGACAAAGTGCTACCACGTCAGGTAAGAACACTGAGTTGATGGCCTTCCTGCCTGGAGAGGCTCCCATCCCCCAGCTCAGGCAGTAAAAACTTGCAGCTTTGCTGGAAGGAGCAGAACAGCAATCAGTTTAAAAGAGAGATTCTGGAAATGAGAAAGCCTGAGAAAGGCCAAGATTATAAATCACATACACATATAGGAGACCCCAGGGAGCCCTAAAAGAATGAAAAGTCTGGGGAGATTCACAAATTGCTGTGCCTTTGAGTGAGTTCCTCAACCTGCACACAGCTCAGGCAGCAGAGGTGGAAGCCTTATTGGCTTGAGGCTGCCAATAATGCCCTCTGTCCAAATCATAGGCTTACTGCCGCTGAGGGACCACCCCTGGGAAGCCAGGCTTAAACATACAAACAAACAACACTGAGCAGGGACGGTGATGGCTACACACCAAGGAGGAGACAGACTTCACCTTTTCAGTATGAGCCCAGGCAAGCTGACTGCTCACTGAAACAAAAAACCAACACTCAGAAGAATAAGGCAGAATTCAATACTGTTTCCACATATTATCCACAATGTCTAGTTGTCAATAAAATTACTAACTATGTAAAGAAACAAAAAAAGTACTAGACATGCAAATGTGACCTATACTCTGGGAAAAAAATGCAGTCAACAGAAAGTGACTCCACTGGGGCCTAGATCATGGATTTAGCAAAAAAAGATTTCAAAGCAGCTATTATAAATACACTCAAAGAATTTTTTTAAATGTTCAAATAAAAAGACAACATGCAAAAAATGAGTGAACACATACGGAATCTCAGAGAAACGGAAACATAAAAAAGAAACCACTGGTAATTCTAAAGCTAAAAAGTACAAAGGTTTAATTTAAAAAAAATTCACTAGATGGTCTCAAAGAACAAATGTGAGATGACAGAAGCACCACTGAACTTGAAGATAGATTTGAAGAAATAATGGCTGAAAACTCCCCAAATTTGGTAAGAAACATTAAGTTAGGCAGCCAAAAAGTTCAACGAATCCCAAGTAGGGTAAAGACAAAGAAAACTACGTCTTTGACTACACCACAGTCAAAACGATGAAGAGAAAATCTTAAAAGCAATAAAAAAAAATGACACATCACATATAAAGGAACAATGATAGGATTTTGTCTGACTTCTCATCAGTAACATTGGAGGACAGAAGACACTGGAATGACATCCAAAGGATTAAAAAGAAAAAAAAACTTGTCAATTGAGAATTCTACATCCAATGAAATTATCCTTCAAATATGAAAGTGAAATATTTTTCCTGATAACCAAAAAATGAAGGTATCTGTTGCCACAGACTTGTGGAACAAGAAATACTAAAAGAATTTCTTTTGGCTAAAGGGAAAAGACATCAGAGAGTAACTTAGATCCACTGGAAGGAATGAAGAGAACTGGGAAATGTAAATAAGTGGACAAATGTAAAAGATTATTACTTTTCTTCTCCTAATTTTTCTAAAATGTATATGACTGTTTAAAACAAAACATAATACTGTATCGTTAGGTTTATAACATATATAGATGTAATGTATATGACAAGAATAGCAACATTTTCCCTGTTGTATATATGACAGACAGGAGGAAATAGAGCTATACTGGTACTGGAAGTCAGTATTAAATATATCATGATAAATTGAAGATTGTAATCCCTAGAGTAATCATTAAAAAAGAAAATTCAAAGAAATACAGCTACAAGTCTACAGAGGAATTAAAACGATATACTAAAAGTAACACAAAAAAGGCAGAAAAGGAACAAAGGAACAAGAAAAATGAGACAAGTGGAGAACAAATAGCAAATGGCAAATCTGAATCCAAGCATATCAATAATTATATTAAATGTAAATAGACTAAACACTGCAATAAAAACATTCTGAGAATGTATGCATGCAAATACAAGTTTAGTATAAATTTTACTCATATAAAGGATGTGTACCACATGATTTACAGAGAAAATGGTATCCAAGAAGAGGGATATGGCAAAAAAGGGTTAAGAAACCCTAAGCTAGAAGGAATCAGCACTATTCTCAAATTTCTCATGTATAAAATAAAGGGTTAACATTTAAAACCAACAAACACACATGTAGGTACACAAAAATCAGTATTGCACCAAGTAAAAAGATGCAGAGGATTCATTGTTAACAATTTACTCAACACCAAATAGTAGGCACTCTTAATCAGTGAATGAAGCTTCCTAAACGGCATGATTTCTAGATTGGATCCCGCCCCCAACATTTTATTACTAAATTTTCAAACTACAGGAGGGTCGAAAGAATTATAGACTGAACATCCATATATCCCCAGCTGGAGTCCATAAGGAACATTCAGCCAATTAACATTTGCTATCTATTGGCTTTATTATATACCTATCCATTTATCAATTCCTCTACCTATATCAATCCACCTTATATTTCTGGACTGGATTTTTTTTGTGTGTGTGAGGAAGATTAGCCCTGAGCTAACATCTGTTGCCAATCTTTCTCTATTTCGTATGTGGGATGCCGCCCCAGCATGGCTTGATGAGCGATGCGTCAGTCTGCACCTGGGATTTGAACCTGCGAACCCCAGGCAGCCGAAGCAGAGCGTGTGACCTTAACCACTAGGCCACTAGGCTAGCCCCCTGGACTGGACTTTTTAAGGGAAGAAAAGCATTGGTGAAAAAAAAGTGAGAAGAGAAAAAAAGCTGTACAAAGAAAAGGAATCATCTAATTCTTTTAATAAATCTCAGGCATATATGATTATTATCCACATTTTACAGAGGAATCCAAGGAAAAGGTTAAATAATGTGTGTAAGTCACATAGCTAATTAAATAGTGGAATCAGCATTTAAAACCCAGGAAGTCTGGCTCTAGGGTCCGTGTAATTTGGGGGGAAGGATGAATGGATATAGAGAACATTAAAGATTTGGATTGAAACAACATAACACCGAATCACTAGATCTAAAGATGACAGTGACAAGATGAAAATGGAGTTAAAGTACTTAGTGCAAAACAGAAACAAGTAGTTAATTCTAATTCTAAAAAAAAGAGGGAGGGCCGGCCCCGTGGCTTAGCGGTTAAGTGCGCACGCTCCGCTGTTGGTGGCCCGGGTTCGGATCCCTGGCATGCACCGACGCACCGCTTGTCCGGCCACGCTGAGGCTGCGTCCCACATACAGCAACTAGAAGGATGTGCAGCTATGACATACAACTATATACTGGGACTTTGGTGGAAAAATAAATAAATAAATAAAATTTAAAAAAAAAAAAAAAAAAGAGGGAGCCATGAAAACAACGCACGTGCAAATTTTTAGAATGTGTACCATACCTGTGGCCTCAGGACCCTGACAATGACAGCTCTCAGCTGTTCATGCTGGCGCCTAAATTTTCTCATCTGGTCAAGGCGAGCCTGAAGCTTCCTGTGAGCAGGGTTGATTCGCCACACCATCTTCAGATTTTCCTCCCTTTTTCTTTTGACAATGTCTCTCAATAACACCTGAAGTTTCTCATATTCATCATCCCAAGTCTGGAAAACTTCAAAGCATGCTACCATAACCTAGGATATAATTTAAGAAAAGAAGTTTATTATTAAAGTATATTTTCATCTCAATGCCCTGAGGTTGGTTTTCTGATATTAAAACTTACTTTTTCAAATTCTTCATAAGCAACATGCATCAGTTTTCTAGTGCCCAATACTTTGAGTAATTGAGAACTCAAGTCTCTTGAAATTGCCTCCACTAAACGCAGTGCCCTCTGAATGGGATATTTTGTGTTTCGGATCTTTCTCAAATGGGTGAAAATGGCAACAAGTGCCTGCCTTATTTTGTCTAGCTCAGTGGCAGACAGCAAATCATTCAGAGGAAAATCTTTCATCAGAGGATTGTAGTCATTCACAGTTTCCAAAGCCTGTTTTAGACCTAGATTAAGAGAGAAACAGTCAATGGTTTTTATGGAAAGTAAAACAACTAGACAGATACTCCTTACAGGCTTAATACTGGGTAAGTAAACTAAAACCTAACCTCACAATGGGACATTTGATGTTGCAAAAGATTTAATGACAAAGAAACTGTTCATGATATTATGAAAATATCTAAAAAAAAGAACATGTATTAACAGGATGATCCTAGTGTGGTCTCATTTTTGCTTTTTGCTTTTTTTTTTTCTTTTGGTGAGGAAGATCAGCCCTGAGCTAACATCTGTTGCCAATCCTCCTCTTTTTTCCTAAGGAAGACTGGCCCTGGGCTAACATCTGTGCCCATCTTCCTCTACTTTATATGAGATGCTGCGACAGCATGCCTTGACAAGCGGTGTGTCAGTGCATGCCTGGGATCTGAACCTGCGAACCCTGGGCTGTCAAAGAGAAGCGAGCGCACTTAAGCCTGCGCCACCAGGCCAGCCCCTCATTTTTGCTTTTTTAAGAATATCAGTCAATTCCTACATACTCTAAAGGCTGTGGGTGGTAGCCCCACAGATTTCATCTTTTTTTGCTTTCTATGTTACCTAAATGTTCTACTAATAACAATTAAGTTTAGAAAAACCAGAATTTTATCACCCTTAAGAAAACTAAAATTTAAATTTTACACCCATGGTTCAAATCAGGTGAGTGTGTTATGGACATGGATCATGCAAGCACCTTGGTCCTAGTCTATTTTTTGACTTCCTCTGCCATAAGATAAAGAAAAAAAGTATTAGGAAAGAAATAAGGATTTCAGAGGTATTGAAAAAAAAAATTCAAGGTATACATTTCAACATTAGTGAACACCTAAGTAACATGTGCAGTGTGGTCAAAGTAACTGGAAGATTTCGGCCTGGAATTTCCTCTAACATGTAGAATGTAGGCACCACACCTTTTTTGAAGGGGAAGAAAAAGAACATGACAACCACTGCATCCTAACTACTCATTCTAACATCTCTTGTGGGCAGAGAGCTGTAGAGAAATGCCCAACCAGGCCTGGTCGTTCAAACAATTGTGTGCCGTGTGTGTGCTAGCGCAACATGACCCACGCTGCTGCTCACTCGGAACACTAAATTTATCTCAACCACTTTTCCCAACAGGGAGGAGGGCAGAGAACAGGAGAAAGGGGCAGGTAAAAAGAGGAAGAGAAAGCACTGACTAGCTCTCCTTCCACAGCCCCGTGGGCAAATAACTTCCGCTTACCTTAAACCATCTTCCTGGATGGTCAAAAGCACACTTGACTTTATACTAAAAAAGTGCAGCCTGCTCAAGGAACCAAGTAACTGAGAAACAGGCGGGAAACTCCCAGGGCTCTCTACACTCAGGCCTAGAAACTAACTGGCTTATGCTCTCAAAACGCTTGAAGGGAAAGGGAAGTATGTGGGAAAATCATTTTCATTACCTAGAACTGGGGGAAAGATGAGACAAGATTCAAGAGAGGAAATAGTCAGGAAAGACGGCGCACCTATTAATTTTTATCTAAATTATCAATAAGATCTCACACAATCCAGATCAACAACACAACTTATCAACCACATTATCAGTTCTAGCTTTTACCTGTGTCAGTGTCGAAACTGACAGTGGCATGGAAACGCTTGCCATGTTTCAAGATGTCCAGAGTCAGGAGAACTTCTGGGCTCTCGCGTTTCTCCTGGATGCGGTATAATGCACGTTCCAAGTTTAGCCAAAAACTAATTTCCTGTAAGGCAGTTCCTGAGGCAGGATCTCGATCAAGTTTGGTCACCTGCAAAGATAAAATAACATTCAAGAGCATTACTATTTAAACAAAGGTAGAAAAAGTACCATTAACTAAACACATGTATTACAATTTAATTTTTATATTTCAACTAGATTTCCTTCCCTGTAAATTATAAGCTGTTTAACTTGAAATCAAAGGTATGAGCCAGCTGAGATTAACACTCTCTCAGGGTTGCTATTTAAACAGCCTCACACTGTACCCCGACCATTCCACCTGGGCCAATGTTAGTCCTCCATTAGCATTCCCAGGACCAGGGGGAGGTACTGCTAATAGTCATCACAGAATTTACCTCATGGACAAAAACTCAGACCAGTTTTCTCACAGATATTAGCAAGTCAAGTGTTTTACATGATACTTTCAATACTGTGATCTTACTTTTTGAATTTCTCGGATCCAGCGGTTAACTCCAGATTGTAACTGATTGAGAAAAGTTGGGTCTTCAACCTTATCTCCAAAGTCTGTAACTTTTGGCTTTTCGCCACGTTCATAACACTGTTTTGCAACATTTGTAATAATTGGATGAATTGGCAGGCTGATCTCTGGAATTTCAATATTTTGCTGCAAGTGAAGGAGTCCCATTTCAAGTTCTGCAATCTTTTTTTCAACTGAAGGAGCCATTTTATCACCATCCCTAAAACGGCAAAAAATATCTTATATTTTAGTGCACTATTGGTCTCCAAAGAGAGTCAACATTTCAGGTCTGTCAAATACTAATAATATATATTTAATTAATGCAACAGATTTATATCCGCTTGGTTTATTAGCTTTACCCCCCAATTCCTGAATTTTACATCATCTTCCACAGTGTCTTGTGAACAGTAAGTGAAATATTACATTCAAACCAACGAAGGAAAAATGGTTTTTACCTGTCTGCTTTGCCCGACTCTCTGATATAGGACTTGAAAAAAGGAGCCACTGCATTGCTAATGAAGGAATGCAAGGTTTCATACGGTGAGTCTTCACTGAGTGTGAGGACTCGGAGCTGAGAAGATACTGGTTTGTCTGCATCAATTACTGGAGTACGTTTAATGAATGCCAAGCTAAAGGAAAGGAAAAGAAGAAATTAGCACAAAGAGTCTCATTCCTAATCAGTCTTAATAACTATAGTCTTCTTTGTGTTGCATACAAATTAAAAATTCATTTGAATGTTTTAATTTAAAAATAATATTAATAGAATAAATTGTTGACTTTCTGATACTGAAATATACTGCTCATTTTTCTTTACTCACTTAACGTGAGAACTATCAAGTCAAGGTTAAGATTATAGCATGCAACTGTGAAACCAGGCAAAATTAATCTGCCTCATAAATGGGTTGAGTTCATAATCTTGGCCTCACTGAAACTGACCTGCAACTAGCAACTGCAAGTTACAAGCCAAGATGTACTTAAATCTGATCTTATACTTTTTTTTTTTTTGTGAGGAAGATCAGCCCTGAGCTAACATCCATGCCAATCCTCCTCTTTTTGCTGAGGAAGACTGGCCCTGAGCTAACATCTATTGCCAATCCTCCTCCTTTTTTTTCCCTTTTTTTCTCCCCAAAGCCCCAGTAGATAGTTGTATGTCATAGCTGCACATCCTTCTAGTTGCTTTATGTGGGACGCGGCCTCAGCATGGCCGGGGAAGCGGTGCGTACTGCAGTGCGCACCCGGGATCCGAACCAGGGCCGCCAGCAGCGGAGCGCGCGCACTTAACCGCTAAGCCACGGGGCCGGCCCCTAGTCTTATACTAATTTGTACCATTCATTTATGGCACTAAGTCACATATCGACTTGAATAAACAAGTCACCCACAGGGTAAGGTGACAAGAGGGCATCCCAGGCTCCCGACAGCCTGGCCTAACCAACTCTTCCAGTTTCACCTTCTAGTACACACCTCCTTCCCCACCCCAAGACACCACTTAAGCTAGATGTCCCATTCTCTAAACATCATGTGATTTTGTGTCTTTCTTAAGAAGCCTGTATTACCCGCTAAAATCTAAGTAGCCCCCAAAACCCAGTTCCAGCATTATTTCCTCCACAGTGCCTTCCCTAATCAGAAGATATCTCTCCAAATATCCATGTTTCCTGGTATCTTGCACCTCTAAAATTTTGCCAAGTATTACAGTTAGTTATGTATCTGCCAGTCTTCCTCCAAAAAGACCGCAAGCTTCTTGGGAACAGAAACCAGGTTTTACTTCTTTTTGCCATTTCTTATACATAATAGGTGTTCAAAGGTGGCTGAATTAACAGCTTCAAGAAAATTAACAATACTTTAACTTTCCAGTTCCCAGGCCAGTACTTCATACATAATTCTTCATATTATCCTAAAAAGTCGATGAAGCTTCCTGATGTGACATACTGAGAAGGAACAAAGTCACAATAGTATTCCTGCCAAAAACATACAACCTGAATCTCATCATGGAGAAACATCAGACAAACCCAATTGAAGAATGTTCTATAAAGCCACTGGTCTGTACTTATCAAAAATGTCAATGTCATGAAAGACACAGAAAGGCTGACATAGAGAAAAAGACAGAATTGGATTCTGGATCTGGGAAGAATTACTTTAACGGGCATTAATGAGACAATCTGAATATGTACTGTACCTAGAGAGTGGTATTATATCAAGATACCTTGAATGAGGTTATGAACAAGAATGTCCTTGTTCTTAGGAAATACACAGAAGTATTTAGGGATAAAGGGGCAGGTTGTCTATAACCAACTCTCAAACAGTTCAGGAAAACAATGATAATTTGCCAACGTGGCAAATGTTAACTGATATCCAGGAGTTCAGTATCGTATTCATGCAACTCCTTTGTAAGCCTGAAGTTATTCAAAATAAAAAGTTTTAAAAAGCCAATGTAGAATCAATGATAACAATTATATATGTAAATTTCGATATGTCTATTGGAGTGAAATTGGCACAACCTTTCTGGAAGCTGGGAAATCCAGTAACATGCATTAAAAACTTTTATAATGCATTGCATCTGAACCAGTAATGCTATCTTTAGGGATTTATCCTAAAAAGAATCAGACCTAAGAATGTTTACTAGTTATTTATGATAATGAAAACTCAGATATAATCTGAACATAATCTGAAAGTACTGTTAGATATGTTAAGTACATTATGGATCAAACCTAAAATGGATGCCATGACATGGCAATTAAAGTAAAAATATTTTAGAATTTACATTGACTTGGAGATTCTCTTCATTTGAATACATGAAATCAAAGATAAGATACTGAATTTAAAGAGCAGAAATCTTCAGAGTGTTTCCTTACTGTCTTTGTCTGAGTCAATTAAGACTTACATTTAATTCTCACAAGTTTATAATCCAAGATAATGGTACACTCACACTACTCACCTATTGGACTTCACTCCATAATGAATGTCTATGTTGATATTATAGGAAATGAATTCTTTTTCTTCTTCTCCTTCATCACCAACATCCTCTACAAATTATAATAAATATTATATCAAATTCATGTCAACATTTCCAACTTTCAATTCATCAACTGCTTAGAGAATGATCAGCCTCACCCCCCGCAACAAACCTCTCTGTGACTTGGCTCTACCTATTTTTCTATTCCTACCCATTTTTTCTGACTCTTGACCCAGTCACTTATTTGCTGTGTGATCTTGGGCAAGGTGGTTAACTTCTCTGCACCTGTTTCCCTGTCTGTAAATCGGGGCAGCACTGGCATGTCTGGGTTGCTGGAAGGATTAACCGAGTTGAAGCCTATAAAGCACTAGAGCTGGGCCTGGCCCCAGGCAGAGCTAGGTAGTGTTCGCTACAGCCTGTTCTCACCACCCACCCAGCAGTCTCAGTCCCTGCACTCCAAACACAGAAGTCACTTTCCATCCCGCCCCTGTGTATTCTGCTCAGTTGTTTACTCAACACTTAGCACACCACAGGCATTCTGCTAAGTACTTTAGGTATACATACATTTAACCCTCACGACAACCCTATGGGGGTTGGTATGACTATTATGATCCTTGTCTTTCAGGTAAAGAATGTAAGTAAATTGTCCTCAGACACGAAGCTGGAAAGTCTGCGATTCCAAAGGCAGAGCTCCCCACCAGTACACCCGTCCTCCAGTCCCTCATCAATGCCCCACCTCCCAGAGCAAACCCCCTTCAAGAAAACTGCTATCAAGAAACACCCCCAGGGGCCGGCCCAGTGGCACAAGCGGTTAAGTGCGTGTGCTCCGCTGCGGCGGCCCGGGGTTCGCCGGTTCAGATCCCGGGCGCGCACCGATGCACCGTTTGTAAAGCCATGCTGTGGCGGCGTCCCATATAAAGTGGAGGAAGATGGGCATGGATGTTAGCCCACGGCCAGTCTTCCTCACCAAAAAAAAAAGAGGAAGATTGGCAGATGTTAGCTCAGGGCCGATCTTCCTCACAAAAAAAAAAAAAGAAAGGAAGAAACATCCCCAGGTCACCAAGAGGCATTCACCTACCCTGCCCCTCTGCTTTTATAGCACTTATCAGAGCCTGCTCAGGGTCGACTTATGAATGCATCTTCCTCCCCAACTGTGAGCTCTTGGAGGGCAGGGATCATGCTGGATTCCACACAGCAAACACCGTGCACAGTAGTCATGTTAAGAAGTTTACTGGAATTTAATAGTAAGATAGCTCAAGATGCATGTGAACAAAACTTCTGAGTACAGACATGTGCCCCATAACAACGTTTTGGTCAATGTCAGAGTGCAAATATGACAGTGGTCCCATAACATTAGTACCATATAGCCTAGGTGTATAGTAGGCTGTTACCATCTAGGTTTGTGTAAGTACACTCTATGATGTTCACACAATGACGAAATTGCCTAATGACACATTTTTCAGAACATACCCTTGTTGTTAAGTGACACGTGACTGTAGTTAAAAATCAAAATTGAAAAATTAAAATAAAAAACCGGTACAAATGGGAAATAATCCAAACCTCTAGATCTAGTATTAATCCACTAGATGCCTAGATGCTCTAGCCGAATTATCTTTGCAACGACATATTGCACGGAATACCTGCGTTAGCAAAATCATTATCTAAGGACTAATGTAACGTGATGTGTATGGTTCGTCTGCACTTTTAAGCTGTGATGGAATAGCAAAGGCAGTGACTTAGCTAAGTGACTGTGGGAAAGTCATTTGTCCTCCTCTAGGCTTCAAATTCATGAAATGTAAAATGGGCAGCAGAGCAGGGGGTGGGATATAAAATTAGGTGGTCTGTAAGGTTTTGTAAGCACTAAAAACTATAAAATCTGGGTGTATTGGGTCTGAGCAAAAGCTATTTGCTGAGTTAGCTTTAAGATGAGACAAACAGGGACTGGCCCGGTGGCACAGTGGTTAAGTGTGCACACTCCGCTTCGGCGGCCCGGGCTTCTTGGGTTCGGATCCTGGGTGCGGACCTACGCACCGCTTATCAAGCCCTGCTGTGGTGGCATCCCACATATAAAAGTAGAGGAAGATGGGCTCGGATGCTAGCCCGGGGCCAATC